TTGTTATACCTGCCCCTGCCTCCGTATCTCCTGTAATTATCTGGCCATCCTCCCACCTGAGTAACCAACTACATGCTGAAATCTGGCTCCAGTGGCCAACAGATTCTAGACCTTCCTAGATGGGAGCACCCCAGTATCTGAGACATGCCCCCGCCTCCCAGGCAAATGATCATCAAGGAGCCCACACACCACAGGCTTAAATGATCAACTCAAGAGAACATCTGGCATTAATGAGACATTCTTGTCCTCCCAGGATGAGAAAACCAAGGCTCAGAGAGGTGATACCACATACCTTTCTAAGAAGCGGTAGGACCAGGAGTCTGTCTTGGCATCAGAGCCTTGGGCAAGCTGCCATCTCTCTGGGCCTCAGGTTCCCTGTTGAAAGCCAGGGCACCTCCCCCAGGTTAGCATGAGAAATTCAGTGACATCATGCTGTAGAAAGTGTGTGGTCCTAGATGCACAGGATTGGGGGTAGATCAGCTATAAAAATGATGGCTGTGTCCAAAGATTGTAAAATTTTTTTTTTTACTTGAAGATGGCAAACTTCCAGGGATGTCTGAAAAGAAAAAAGCATTCCTCTTCAATGATGGCCATTTTGGATTTTTTTGAAGGAGAGGGTCACATTGTGGCATGTGGGATCTTAGTTCCCTATCCAGGGATCAAACCTGTGCCCCCTGCAGTATAAGCTTGGAGTCCTACTCTGAGGACCACCAGGGAACCACTGGCCATTTTGAAAATAGAATTTTCCACAAGAGACTGTTGTTGGGAAATGTGGACAGGATGCATCCTTCCTGCAGTGTGGAATCAAGAATAATTCAATAGTTAATTTGTATGGCATTGTAGTGTCTATGAAGTATTTTCAAATTGTAGTAAAGCCTATAGCTTTGCCACGTGATAGGTTCCTAGTTTCAGCACTTCTAGCTGTGTAAGTGGCAAAACACCGAGCCTTCTGAGCCTCAGTTTCTTCATCTGTAAAATAGGACAGTTCTGTTCAAAGAGTAGCTCAGAGAATTGAGTGTGGTGATGCATATTGTATACTTCAAATAGTTCAAATATTCTGAGCCAGTATTATTTATACTGTTGGCCAGTTTGTCCTCATGATCACGTTGATGAGATCATGGTATTATATCCCCCGTTCCTGAGTGGAGAAACAAGTGACCTGAAGATGGTCTTTGTCTCCACTGGGGTGCCAGCTTCCAGCTCCAGCGCTGGGTCCCTGACCTCGTGGTCACTGAATATTCAGTGAATATGCCCCTCCAGATGCAAAGGCCTTTGTTCTGGTTAATAACAGCCCTTTGTTGCTGGCCAGAGGGAGAGGCAGCCTCCAGCTGGGCTTGGACTCCATAGCCTTCAGCCCACTCCCACCCCGCCCCTCAGGTTTGCTTAGGGACCCCATTACCAAGGGAAGTTTAGGGAAGTCTGTCATGCCCTTAGGGAGTGCGGGGGCCTGGGAGTGAAAGGTTGAGTGGGCCGCGCAGGCTTATCCTTGGCGGCTGGCAGGGCTCCAGACGGGTGTCTGTGTGTCATCATCAGTGGGTCAGCGGCTCTACCGTGTGAACATGCCCATCAGAGAGGTGACGATTACAGCTCTGCCCCATCAGACTCCAGCTTGGATCAAGGCCTTGGCCGGTACCCCACTCCCAGGGCCCTATTATCTGTAAGTACATTTACGGAGCCTGCTGCGTGCTGGACTGTGCTCAGTGATTCTATCTGTGTGATCGCCTTTGATTCTCATAAGCTGGCGCTGCTGTGATGGGTAAGCTGCTGTGATGGGTCTCGTCCTTAGCCCCAAAGCCTACAGAGTGCCCCTTTGAAATGTGGTCAGATCGCAACATGCTTTGGCCCAGAACCCTGGGTGACTGCCCATCTGCCACATCGAAAGGTCATAGCTCAGCCCACGGGGTCTGACCTAGTCTGGCCTGGCCACCTCTGACCCCTGCTTTCTACTCTTTCTGTCCCAGCCTCCCTATTGTTGCTTAATAGATTGCTCCACACGTGATAGCTTAAGCCATTGTAATGTTTCTGCTGATCCTGTGCATCCGGAACTGAACAGGCTACAGAGGAGACAGTTTGCTCAGCTGTGTGTCATGTCTGCTGGGTCTGAGCATCCAGTGGCCTTTTCATGCCCATGGCGGGGATGACCTGGAGGGCTGGGGACCCCGGCTCACGGGGTTCATAAGCCAGGACCTTGGTTCTCGCTGTTGCCCAGTTCCTTGGTCGTCCTCCTTGGAGGCTTGCGGCTTCTTTCTCTCCACGTGGTTGTGCCCGCAGCACAGGTGAGCTTCTTACTCAGCAGCCCCAGGCTCCCAACAGCACACGTGAAAATGTTAGCCGCTCAGTCATGGCCAACTCTTCGTGACCCCATGGTCTATAGCCCACCAGGCTCCTCTGTCCTTGGGATTCTCCAGGCAAGAACACTGGAGTGGGGAGCCATTCCCTTCTCCAGGGGATCTTCCTGCAGAGGAGACTGCAGAGTCTCCTGCATTGCAGGCAGATTCTTTACCATCTGAGCCAGCAGGGAAAGGTAGAAGCTTCCAGGCCTTTTAAGGCTTGAGTCTGGAACTGACAGAGTGTCATCTCTGTTGCAACTTTTGGTGAAAGCAAGTCACAGATCCAGCCCAGATTCAAGGGGAGGGGACCCCAGAGGGCTGGTGTGCCTCTTTGGGGGCCACCAACAAAAGACCCTATGAGGCTCCCATTCATTCACTCTTCCCCAGCCACCCAGGCCTCTGTCCTCTTCTTCAAACACACTGTGCACACCCCTGCCGCAGGGCCTTTGCACTTGTTTCCCTCTCTCAGCACTCCCTTCACCCAATATCCACAGGGTACACGTACCACCCCTCCATTTAGCCTCAGCTTAAATGCTACCTTAGTAGAGAAGCTGTACCTGACTCCATCTTATCAAAAACAATGTACCCTGCCTGTTACCTCTGTGCCCTTACCTGCCTCTTTTTTTTTTTTTATACTCATTACTTCCTGGCATGGGCTTCCCAGCTGGCACTAGTGGTAAAGAACCCGCCTGCCAATGTAGGAAGCACAAGAGATGTGGGTTCCATCCCTGAGTCAGGAAGATCCCCTGGAGGAGGAAATGACTACCCACCCCAATATTCTTGCCTGGGAAATCCCACGGACAGAGGAGCCTGGCAGCCTACAGTCCACGGGGTTGCAAAGAGTCAGACACGACTGAATGAGTGAGCGCGCACACACTTCCTGGCACATTTATTGCATGTGTGTTGTCTGATCTTGCTCTTCCCCCCTCCTTAGGATATAAGTGCTGTGTGAGTCAGATGTTTACCGTGTTCACTTCAGTATCCCTGGCTCCACATCTGACACACGATAGGTATACTTGGTGAATGAGTTCATTTTTGAGGTGAGGCAACTGAAGCTCAGAGAGTTTTAAGTAACTTTCCCAGAGACGCAGCTGGTAATTGACAGAGTCTGGATTCATATCCACGACCTGTCGGGGGAATTGCCTGTTCTTACAGCATCCTCCTACCTCCTCCTTCCATGTCCTGTCTCCATGCAGGATGGTCTTCCCCAGTTAGGATCAGATCAGGCGTGAAATCCAGCCTGATGGTGGCGTTCCTTCCTCACCTCCAAAAGGAAAGCTCTCCCTCCGTGGACTGCTATACAGGGTGCAGCGAATCTTGGCCTCCAGCCGTGGCCTGATGGAGCAGTGTGAATCGAGAGTCTTGAGTAGGCGAACCTACCTCTGTTTGCAGCCCCCCTCCCCACCAACACGCTTTCTAAGCACAGGCAAAGCACAGATGTCATCCTCTCATCCATCCATCAGTGAGTGTTTGTGAAACTACTCTGAGCCAAGTATTTTATTGAACTACTACGCTGGGTCCTGGGTTGCAATGGTGAGGAAATCCTCACAGGCCCTGCCCTCCAAGAACTTAAGAGTCCACGGGGCAAGATGGACGTGCTCACATAGCCATACAAATATAAGGTTATAGATTGTGGTAAGTGCTGTCAAGGGCTTACAGTGTATGGGAAAATATGTAACAGTAGTATTACAGTGAGGCAGGGGTGGTTTCCTCGAGGAAGAGACTTTCAAGTAGGAGCTAAGAGGTGGAGCAGATTCCATCCAGGCAGAGGGAACAGCATTGTGCAAAGGGCCTGAGGAGGAGGGATCAGGCCCATTTTAGTGTATGAAGGATCCTAAGAAATATAGTTTGGAGGGCAGAGGGCCTGAGGAGCTGGACAGGCAGGCAAGAGTCAGATCGTGCAGGGCTTTGAGGGCTTAAGCAAGGGGTTGGGGGAAGCATGAGTGACTTTGTTTTCTCATCTGTAAAATGGGGATGATAATAGTACCTGCCTCCCTACGCGTGAGGGATCAGTGTTCAGTTGAGCAACTGTAGGCTGTAGGCTGGCCTGGGGCAATCATCCCCTCTCTGCCTGGTCTCCTCCAGCAGGTTAGGTCCGGCTTGTTCACAAAGCAGCAGCTGGTCCAGAGAGCAGCCTCCTGAGGCTGGACTTGGAACTGGCACAGCATCACTTCTGTTGCGTTCTGTTGGTCCAGGCAGATCATAAGGCTGGCTCACATCCCCTGAGTGCGTGTGAATCTCTTTAACACAGTGCCTGGTGCATAGGAAATGCTCCATACACCCTATTATTATTGTTGTTGCTGTTGACGATGATGTTGTTATCACTCTGCATCCCATTTGACAAATGAAAAGCAGGTTGGATTACTCCACACCTCACACTTAGCAAGTGGCTGCAACCGAACACTAGAACGCAAATATCATGTAACGTAAAGCGTGTTTGCAAACACGTTTGCTTAAAGTGAACCCTTTTGCAGATGATCTTATTGTCCTGAGCTTGAGTACCATCCTGGTAAATAAAATAATTAAGAAGTCCTTTGGTCAGTGCCCTAGGCTCCTGACTGTCTGTGAGGTTTAGTTAGGGTCTCTGAGATCTGAGTGTCCTATGTAAGTTTTGGTTTTTGGCTCCCAGGTTCACTGGGGTGAATGATGGTTTTCTTCTTTCTTACCCAGAGAGCCTCTCTTTGGACTCCAGTTGCTTTTCTTCTCCACCTGTGAATTTCCTTCAAGAATTGCCAAGTTACCGGTCCATTGCTCGTAAGAGGACAACCATCCTTTCCCGGGACAAGCAAAATGGCACTTTGCTGAAGCCAACAGACTCTTACAATTTCCAACTGGAGGGAGAAATCACTGAAGACCTTGATAACCAATCCATTCGAAAATATGCACTGAACATTTCTGAGAAGCGGAGACTAAGGTTTGTCCAGTAGCCATCTGGAGGACATATGATGTATGTTTTGGGAAAAAGGGGCTTTTTAGGCTTAGAATGCATTTCCTGATGAGTTCACATAATTTTGTTACTTGGGATAAGCTAAGCTGCCATGACAAAGATACCCAGACACATAAAATCTCAGTGTATTAGAATGTATTTCTTGCTCACATGAAAGTCCTGGACTGAGGTCAAGGGGGGACTTTGCAGTCACCCAGAGACCCAGGCCTTTTCTGTCTTATGGCTCTACAACTTCCAAAGCCGCATTGCTTTCTGCAGTCACTCTGTTCCCCCTAACCCCCGGCCCCTGCCAACCATTATTATACTCTCTATCTCTGTAGATTTGCCATTCTGGATACTTCGTGTAAATAGAATCATACATGACCTTTTGCGTCTGACTTCTTTCACTTAGCTGCATGTTTTTAAGGTTCATCGAAGTTGTAGCGTGTATAGGTACTTCCTTTTTATGGCTGAATAATATTCTATTGTGTGGCTATATCAGTTTGTTCATTTATCCTTTGATAGAGATGTGGGTTGTTAGCATCTTTGGCTATTGTGATTCGTGCTGCACTGAGCATTTATGTACAAGCTTTTGTTTGAGACCTGTTTTCAGTTCTTCTGGGGTGTCTACCTGGAAGTGGAATTGCTGGGTCATATGGCACTTCTTTGTTTAACTTTTTGAGGAACTGCCAAACTTTTGCCTTCTGGTCGCACTGTTTTGCATTCCCACCAGCAGTGTATGAGGGCTCCAGGCTTTCCACATCCTCTCAGTTGGGGCTCTGGTGGTGAGGTTGGGGACCCTGCCATTGTCGTGCTTGTTTATTAATGCAGGGACATTCAGGAGACCCAAATGAAGTACCTATCTGAGTGGGACCAGTGGAAACGGTATAGCAGCAAGTCTTGGAAGAGGTTCATAGAGAAGGCTCGCGAGATGACGACCCACTTGGAGCTGTGGCGGGAGGACATCCGCAGCATAGAAGGTACAGCACCCCACGTGCCCACGTGGTCCTCTGCAGAAGCCTCCTGCCCTGGGAGAAAGTACAGCTTTGTTCTCACCCACCTCCAGCTGAAACGTCGTCTTTCCTTCCATGGTGTATGCGAGCAGCGCACCACAGTTAGGGTTAATAGAGCCTGTGTCTTCATCACCAGGGAAATCACAAGTTGTCTTCCCGTCCCTTCCACGTGTTGTAGTTGTCCAGGAATAGCACGTGTGCTCGTCATGACTTTGAAATTACAGCAGTGATTGCATCTGCCGCTAGGTCTCATTTTTGAATACTAATGAAGATATTCATGTATTAATCTGTCGCCAATTTAGTTTGTAATATTGTGATATCATATGGACAAATAACCGTTTGTATTTTGTGCATTTAAGAGTATTATTGCAAGTGGGGTTCAATAGGACTTATTCGATTGCAGAGGCAGCCATGGCCCTGAACACCCTTACTTCCCCATAATGGTGAGAATTGGGATGAGGTGCAGACAGACCAGGCTTTGCCAGTAGCTCATTTGGTGAAGAATCTGCCTGCAGTGCCGGAGACCCAGGTTTGATCCCTGGGTCAGGAAGATCCCTGGAGAAGGAAATGGCAACACACTCCAGCATTCTTACCTGGAGAATCCTATGGACAGAAAAACCTGGTGGGCTACAGTCCACGGGGTCACAAAGAATCAGACATGACTGAGCGACTAAGCACAGCATAGCAGAGGCAGACCTAGGAGATACTGTGGGTTTGGTTCCAGACGACCTCAATAAAGTGAATGTCACAATAAAGTGAGTCACACGATTTGTCGGTTTCCCAGTGCATATAAAAGTTGTGATTACACTATACTGTAGTCTGTTATGGTACAATAGCACTGTATCTAAAAAAATAATGTATATACCTTAATTAAAAAGTACTGTCGGCATTTATCATTTGTATGTCTCAGGTTAAAATACTTGCCCTAGTTCATTCTCTAAGATAAGGCAAACCCAGAATTTGAGCCCAGGCAATGAAGCTTCAGAGCCCAAGATTTTAGCCACCATGCCCAGCTTGCTCTCCTGTTAAGAGGCCACCTTTCTGGAGATTTTCATCATATATAATGGTGAAATGAAGTGAACGTGAAAGTTGCTCAGTTGTGTCCAACTCTTTGCAACCCCATGGACTATACAGTCCATAGAATTCTCCAGGCCAAAATACTGGAGTGGGTAGCCTTTCCCTTCTCCAGTGGATCTTCCCAATCCAGGGATCGAACCCAGGTCTCCTGCATTGCAGGTGGATTCTTTACCAGCTGAGCCACAAGGAAAGCCCAAGACTACTGCAATGGGTAGCCTATCCCTTCGCCAGTGGATCTTCCTGAGTCAGGAATTGAACCAGGGTCTCCTGCATTGCGGGTGGATTCTTTACCAGCTGAGCTATGAATGGTGAAATATTGAAAGCTTTTCTCTTAAGATTGAGAATGAGGAACAGACTGCTAATTATCACAGATTCTATTCATCATCATCTCGAAAGTCCTAGCCAGTGTACAATGATTGGGGAAAAAACAAAAAAGGCACAATGACCAGAAAGGAGAAATAAGTTGATTTTTTTTTCCAGATGACATGATTTATTTGTAGAAAACAAAAGACAAATTATTAGCACTGATGTGAATTTAGCAACGTTGCTAGTTGTAACAGCTGTATATAAAACTAATTGTATTTCTATATACCAGCATGTGTGCTTGGTCACTAAGTCATGTCCCAGTCTTCATGATCCCATGGACTGTAGCCCACCAGGCTCTTCTGTCCATGGGATTCTCCAGGCAAGAATACTGGAGTGGGTTGCCATTTCCTCCTCCAGAGGATCTTCCCAACCCAGGGATAGAACGTGCATCTCCTGCATTGACAGGTGGATTCTTTACCACTGGGCCACCAGGGCTTCCCTATATACCAGCAACAAACATTTAAAAAATAAGTTACACAATAGTATCATTATACCTAGGAATACATCTAAAGAACTGTGTGAAACAATTGTGCACAGGAAACTATAAAATGTTGTTGAGAGAATTAAACCTATATATATATACAGGTTCATGACTCAAAGGCTCAGTATTATAAAGATGTCACTTGTTCTCAAACTGACATATATTCCATATAATCTCAGTCAGAATCTCAACACATTTTGTACACATATGTATGTGTGTATGTGTGAAAACAAATATGATGATTTTAATATTTATGTAGAAATGCAGAGAACCAAGGATGCCCGAGGAAGAAGAGAGCTTTAAGACTTAGAGCACCATATATCAAATATTATTTTAAGTCTGCAGTGATGAGACAGTCTGGTGTTGGTCCTAGGATAGACAAACAGACCAACCGAACAGAAGAGAGAATTTAGAAATAGGTCCATGAATATATTTGTTGTTGTTTAGTCACTAATTCGTGTCTGACTCTTTTGCAACCCCATCACTGTAGGCCACCAGGCTCCTCTGTCCATGGATTTCCCAGGCAGGAATACTGGAGTGGGTTGCTATTTCCTTCTCCAGGGGATCTTCCTGACCCAGGGATCGAACCCATGTCATCTGCTTGACAGGTGGATTCTTTATCACTGAGACACTTGGGAAGCCTTCATAAGTATATAGTCAATTACATAAGTACTGTTGCAGTTCACTAAGGAAAAGATCACCTTTTCAATAAATGGTGCTGAGTTAATTAGATATTCCTATGAGAAAATGTAAATATTGACCCCTCCCTCATGCCATTTCAAATTATTAATTTATAATTAATTGCAGATTTACATGTGAAAGTTTAAGTCACTAGAAAATAGAGCTTTGAAGCCAACATTGGAGAATATAAAATGATTCTTCCTTCCCCTACCAAGATCCTCCACTCTCAGTTCAGTCCTCCGTGGCTGACTGAACCTGCAGTGGGTACTGGGTCAATACTCCTGGTCAGTGATTTCTGAATTTCTTTTTTCCAGGGAAATTTGGCACTGGGATTCAGTCTTACTTCTCCTTCTTACGATTTCTGGTGTTGCTGAATTTGGTGATATTTCTGATCATCTTTATGGTGGTTTTGCTCCCAGTCTTGCTCACCAGATACAAGATCACCAACAGCAGCTTTATTCTCATTCCATCTAAAGACGTGGGTGAGTGGAAGAGGCCTGGCTTGCCATGACGAGTGTTCTTTTCATTGTGTACCTAATTACAGCGCTTCTTGCTCTAGCGGTCTTTATAATCTAAGTCTTGGGTGACTGTATTAGGATAGGCTAGGCTGTTTGTGGAAACAGATGACCCCATAGCACAGTGTCTAATAACCACAAAGTTTCTTTCTTATTCACACTATGTGTCCACCATTGTTTGGTGGTGCCTTTGTTCCACGTCTTCTCTCTGGAGCCCGAGCTGATGGAGCAGCCTCTCTTCAGACCACTGACAGTCACGATGTCCAGAGAAAAAAGAGCTGTGGCAATCATGTGCTGGTTCCTAATGCTTCTGCTGGAGATGACACACATCCTTTTTACCGCATCTTATTAGCCACTGCCAGTCACTCGCCACTCCTGAATTCAGCAGGGCGTTTGGGAGAAGCAGTGAAGTGTAGAAAGTGGAATATTTAGTAAACAGAATACAATCTACTCCAGTGACTTTATTTCAGGCTTTTATTTCAAGGCTTTTCTCTCCCATAATGGTGATGCTCAGGCTGGCATTCATTAAACACTAGTGATTTGCCAGACTCTTTGGCAGTGATGGGCCTGTGTTTTCTTACTGAATGCTCAACATTTTTTGCTTCTATCACATGACTCCTTCCCCAGAAGATCTCCCTCTATAGTCACTTCTGTGGCCCTCAGCATTCCTCTTCATCACATTTATTTTTGTTTTAATTCTATTGCACTTAAAAATCAAATGAGAATAACGTGGAAATCCTGACTCTTTGAGTGCCTACTGTATACCTGTTGCTGAATTCTCATTTCCTAATATGTCCATTTCACAGATAAATATCACCTGCTGCTGTGGGAAGACCCTGGGTTCAGTTTCAAGGCCCAGCTCCGCTAGTTGGTTAGACTGTCTGAGCCTCATTTTCCTTATTTGTAGAAAGTGATGATATAAATAGTGAGACAGTTGTTTCATTATTCAGATAATACTACACTATTTAATACTTGGGTCACTAAAAAATGTTTACTATTTAGATTGTAAATAATTAAAAACAATAATATAAAGTATATTATTTAATATGGAATAATTTTAAAGTATAAGTAATTATTTAAGCAATACTCATAATTTTTAAATGAGTATTAAGTAAGATAATACAGTGCTTTGTCCATGGAAAGTGCTCAATAAATGGCAGCCTTTTTTTTAAGTATTATTTCTTTCTAGAAGAACTGAAGACCATTCTGTCTCATTGAGCACCACTGCCTGTTCAGTGGTCCCTTTATCTGTGAGCAGAGCCTTGGGCAGAGGAAGGCCACCCTCTTGGAGGAAATGGAGCTGGACTCTGAGCGTGGACGCCATGAGTCTCTGCTTTCTCATTATTTCCTTTGACTACACCCTCCTTCCATGCATGCTTTTTTTTTTTAAACTTACCTACTAGACTTTGTCCCTTCAGGGGGAAGCCCCTCTCTTCCCTTCCTTACCTTCCTTCCCTTTTTCATGCTTTCAGTGAGTGTTTATTGAGTACCTGTTGTGTGCCAGTCCCTGAGTCAGGTCCTGGCAGGAGCTGCCACACCTGAGTCCATGGTAGTGCCCTCTAGCAAAGGATGGGGGTTAGGAAGGGATCGCATGAAGAGGTGTATGAAGGACGAATTTGCCTGTGGGGAGGGGACGGGATAAGGTGCTGAGAGGTCGGACACCGGGACACTGGTGTTCAGGGGTCCCCTGAGCCCTCTGTGAAGACAGGTGAGCCTAGCAGGACAAGGAGAACGCTGCCATTGGTGAACTTGGGGAAGCATCTTCATGCAGATGAACAGCATCTGCAGAGGTTCAGAGATGAGGATAACTCAGCGTATTGGAGACATGAGAAGCCTGGCGTGACTGGTGGGCACACTTACTGGAAGGGCCAGATAGTCAGGATTTTAGGCTTGGTAAGCCACACGGTCTCTGTTGACTATTCAGTGCTGCCGTGATGGCACAAAATTGACCATGGATGCATGTCCTGAATGAGCTTGGCTGTGTTCTGGTAACACTCTACTGACAAAAAGAGGCAGCTGGCCAAATTTGGCCCTAGGGCCATAGTTTGCTGATGTCTAGGCTTCAGGACAGGGTGAAGAGCAGAGAAGCAGCCATCTCATTCCATCTCCCTGACTCTGCTCCCAAACAGAGTGACTGTCTCCCTCCTCTTTACCTCTAATGCTGTGTTCATAAACCATTTGAGCACCTTACATATACCTGACTCTTACTTGTCTTTTCTACCACTAGATGGTAAGCTTTTCAAAGGCAGTATTACTTATCAGTTTATCTCCAACATCTGCCTGGTGCCTAGTAACTAAGAAATGTTTGTTGAATGAATAAGTAAGCATTCACGTTAGAATTATAAAATAGAAAAGCTGGAACTGGCCTTAGAGAAACTGGTTCAGTTCTCTTATTTTAACAAAGGGGAAACTAAGGCCCAGAGAAGGGGTAGTAGATTGGATTATTTCCCCTAGTTTGTCATTTCCCTGTAATTGTGACTTGCAGAGCCTCCCACTGTAGGCCAAGAATACTTCCTGACCCTGTTGGTATTGCACTTGGCTATGTGACTTCTTTTGTCCAGTGGAATTTTAGCTTGAAATGGCTTTATGTGGTTGGCCTACCTTATAAGAAGGGTCATGAGGAGAGCATCCCCCAGATAGCCTTTGCATCTCCAGTCTGTCCCCTGAGTGGAGTCATACAGAGAAGACCTCCATGTAACTGGGAGCCTGGTATCCATTCTGGCTTATCCTGAATGAGCTTCATGTTTTCAAACTGCAGACCATGAAGGAGAAAATAAATGTTTGGAGGTTAAGTCATTGAGACTTGAGGCTACTTATTACACAGCAATAGCTGACTGAGACAAAGCAAGTGAATTAGTTGATCAGGCACAACGTAGTGCCACTAAAATTGGTGTTCAAAAAATTTCTTGATCAGTTTTACATAGGTAAATATGTGTTTTTTAAGAGTGAAACTGCTTGTTAATTTACACACATGTAGAGATCTTTTAAAATTGGATATGCTTAAAATACAATAATAATTCTATCAGCCACATCTTCTAAAACATGTGCAAACATGAACTCCAAAATGTAAAATACCAATATAGTCAGAAAACTTGTACTGTAGTAGACCCTTATACAAAATGTATAGAAAAATGTATATCCCTAGATAACTTAGAATAGTGAAAGGGGAAAATGGTACTGTACTTGGTGCACTGGGGTTTGAGTTGCAAATAGATTCATAAACACAGCCATACATAACTGTATATGACTACATATACATGCATATATACACAAATTACAATAAGGTTCTACACACTGAAGCTGTTTCCACTGATGTTCTTGTTTTTGTTTTTTACAGATATTCAGTGCACAGTGTATCCGATAAGTAGCTCTGGACTCATTTACTTTTACAGTTATATCATAGACTTACTTTCTGGCACTGTAAGTATTTAACATAATTCTGGATTTGGATCCTCAGTACTGAAATAGGTCTCTGAATGTCTGCAGTTGAGAGTCAAACATGAGTGTTGACACAAGTACTGGTTATAAAACCAGTATTTGCGGTGACCTTACTGGCAAGGATGATGTTCATCCACCCCTGCTTAGATAGACAGGAAAAGTGCTTTGTCACTTTCAGCCCTTGTTTTTTGCCTAATGCCTGCCACCTTCTTATTGACCTGTGACAAAATCTGAGATCCCCCATAGACAGAAACTTCAGTGAATATAAACCCAGATAGAATGTGTTTAACTTCTCTGACATTGAAAAACCTTAACATTTTGTAGTCCTAGATGACCTGGATGAAAGCTATAACTTCTCCCCAGAAATTAGACACACAAGCATGTGTGGTGCACACATGCACAACACCCATACATGCACACACACACACACACAACTGTGCACACACATACGTTCCATGAAATCTCTTAAAAGACTATTGTGATGTGTGCTTAATCACTCACTTGTGTCCGACTCTTTGTGACCCCATGCACTGTAGCCCACTAGGCTCCTCTGTCCATGGGATTCTCCAGGCAAGAATACTGGAGTGGGTTGCCATGCCCTCCTCCAGGGAATCGTCCCAATCCGGGGATCAAACCCAGGTCTCCTGCATTGCAGGCAGATTCTTTACCATCTGAACTACTCGGGAAGCCCTGAAAGACTATTAATCCCATGTTAACTCTGATGCTCTGAAGTGGAATTAATGCCATCCTTCCTATGATAGTTTCAAAGGTTTTCTTTTTTTTTATATTCTTTATTCCAAAAAATGATTTTGTGTGCGTGCTTTCATTTTTTTAATCCCACTTTTTTTCAGCAGGTAAGGGTGCCCATGAAAAGTGGCTGTCTCTGCCTTCTATATTACGGTTTCTCCACCTTGGACGTGATACTCCTGTATCACAGGCCTGTCCTATGCCCTGTGGGGCACCTATAGCATCCTGCCTTCCCTCCACTCATGCCAGTAGCAGCCCCACAACTGTGACAACCAAGCATGTCTCCAGACGTTGCCAGATATTTCCTGGGGGACAGAATTGCCCCAGGTTGAGAACCACTCCTTTACCTGTTTTTAAAAATTGTTGTTTAGTCACTAAGTCGTGTCTGACTCTTTTGTGACCCTATGAAAAACACAACTATATTAAAATATCTTTAGGAAAGTTACTGAGATTAAAATGCCATGTCATCAAACATTTCCAAATTGACAAATAGAAAGCTTCGAATTTGCCCACTGCGTTCAATTTTGAAAAAGTGGTTCTTACATCTCTGCTTTCATGTTCTCCTTAAAACAACTGAGAGGAATTGTCAGGTGGGTGTTAAAATGTCCACTATGCAAACTGGAAAACTGAAACTCACAAACTCTATGAAGAGAGAGGCAAGTCAGTGACTCACCTGAGGTAAATGCTGGTGAGATCACATCCCAGAACTGCGGTTAGCCCCATTTCGTTTGGTCATATCCCACAAGACGTTTCTCCTTGTGGAGCTCCACGCGCCATGATCATCTTCATTATAGAAAAGATTTTATAGGAGACTTAGATGCACTTGATCATAAATGTTCAGTAAATTACACATGATAAAAAATAGCCCTGCCCCAAAGAATGAGGTTTCTGTAGTGATGAGAATGTTCTGAATCTATGCTGTGAAATTCGACAGCCACTAACGCTTAAGTACCTGAGTACGTGGCTACCGTGACCAAGAAATTGAATTTTAATTTAATTTTATTGTTCATTTCAATTTCAATGTATTTGTTTTCAATGGGTGTTTTAAAAACCATTCTGCACACATTAAAGAGTGACCATCATGTACATTCCCTGTAATGTCACTGTTCTCATCTATGCAAGCAAGTAGCAGACTTACACATAGTTTTCCTGTGGTTTTAAACACTTCTGTTCATGTTTATGGAATGAGCAGACCATGCACTCACGCTACAGGATTTTCTCTGTAGTGAGCAAATGCTACTTTAACATATTTCTTACACGTGTTTTTGAACATTTCTATATGTATTACAAAATGACCGGCACGTCCACTCATTGAAATACAGGGATTCATTTCTTCATGTGTAGCACAAACTTCTCTCACAACTGACTTTTAAAAACTTTTCTACACACATTACAGAATGGACCTCCCATGTATTGACTAAACTAAAAGTATTCTGAACATATTGAGCATGTAGCACTTTGACAACCATCTTTGTCCTGTGTTTTTAAAGTCTTCACTAATGTAGAGTATGCATGTCACATTTAGTCACTAAAAAAACACAGTTTTCAACATAGCTAGTAAGTAGCATTCTTATATCTTTTGCGTATGTTTTTTTTTAATTGAGATCTGGTTGACATATAGTGTATACATTTGAGGATGTACAACCTCATGATACACTTATATATTATAATATGATGACTACAGTAGTTTTAGCTAATAATCTTTATCATGTCACATGTAAATTTAAATTTAAATAGGCCCAGGAGGGAGCTGGCCACAGAGATTAAGAAGTGGCTTGTTTTTGCTGAAAACAATTGAGCCAAGCTCGTGATCACACCAGAGAAGTTATTTTCCGGGCCCAGTGGACCTTTGTCCTGTTATGCTACTTGATTGATGACAGCCCTGATAATGACCCAGGGCAATAAAGACAGGGTTTTTGTAGTTGGGCAAGTTTTTATGGCCTTTGTGCCCCAGAGTTAAAAGATGGAGTCTTGTGTTTCTACATCTTTTATTTTCCTATTAAAAATTTACTTAACTATTCAATATAAAAATACATGGTTTTCGTAAGAAATATAGGACTTAAAGAGTGAAAAATAAAATTACTTCTTCCCAGAGACTACCAATCCCTTCACACCATGGTTCATCGCTTTCTCGACCTTTCTTAGGCACTTGTTTGGGCTTCTTAATATTCCACAACATGGATTTTTCATGATCTAGCCAGTTCCTGATTGATGAACATTCAGATTATTTCCATTGTCCCCTTTCTAAACAATACTGTAGTGAACATCTAGTTGCTATGGATACTATTTCTGTTCTCTGTATATTTCCTTCTTCACTCTCCTAGAATGTTCTATCCTTGCTATTCAAGGAGGAGTCTGGCGTGAGCTCATTTATTCCCACCGCAAGAGTCATGGACTTTTCTCTGCTGTATTTTCACATAGGTTTCCTTTGGGCTTGGAGGGGGGCATTGTTCTGTTTTATTTTTCTCTTATAATAGCTTTATTGAGGTACAAGTCACATATCGTACAATTCACCCATTTAAAGTGTACAGTTCAGTGGTTTTAGTATATTCATAGAGTTATGCAGCCGTTACCACAATCAATTTTAGAATATTTTTATCAACTCAGAAAGAAACCTGTACCCGTTATCATGTACCAATTCTGCTAATCAGTGCTAAGCAACCACTAATCTACTTTCTGTCTCTATGAAATGCTTGATCATGACATTTCTTATAAGTGGAATCATATAACACAAGATCTTTTGTCTCTAGCTTCTTAGCATATTTTTAAGGTTCATGCATGTTGGAGCATCTGTCAGTCTGTGATTCCTTGCTGTGGCCAAGTAATATTACATTGTGTGGAAATACTACATTTTGTTTATACAGGCATGATGGACATTTGGGTGGTTTTCACCTTTTGTCTATTATGAATAATGATGCTAAAGATATTCATGTGTGAGATTTTGTGTGGACATATCTTTTCACTTCTTTGAGGAGTGGAAATCACCAGCTCAGATGTTTAACTTTTTGAGGGACTGCCAAACTTTTCCACAGTGGCTATATGCTTTACATCCTCACTAGCACTGAATAAGTCTTCTGATGTGTCTACGACATCCTTGCCAGCACTCGCTGTTACCTGGCCTTTTGATTATAGTCACCCTGGTTTGTGTGTGGTGGAATTTCTTTGTGGTTTGATTTGTATTTCTCTAATGAATAATGTTGATCATCTTTTCATGTGCTGATTGGTCTTCTGTGTATCTTCTTAGAATAAATGTCTGTTTGGATTCTCTTTTTAGTTTTAATTGAATTATCTCTGTTTTTATTGTTGAGTTATAAGAGGTTTTTTTCAGTATTCTAGATGTGCTGTGCTCCCTCAGTCATAGCCGACTCTGTGACCCCATGGATTGTAGCCCGCCCTGCTCCTCTGTCCATAGAATTTTCCAGGCAAGAATACTGGAGTGGGTTGCCATTTCCTTCTCCAAATATTATAGATGCAAATTCTTTATCATGTATATAATTTATATTTTCTCCCCTCCTCTGGATTGTCTTCTCACTTTCTTGATAGTGTCCTTAGAAGCACAAAAGTTTTTATTTATTTTTTTTAAGTTTTTATTTTTTATGAAGTCCAGTTTCTTTTTTCTGTCATTGCTTGTGCTTTTGGTGTCAAATCTAATAATCCATCGCCAGATTCAAAATCATGCGGATTTAACTCTCTATCCTCTTCTAAGAGTTTTATAGCTTTAGTTTTTACATTTCGGCCTTTGGTCTATTTCAGGTTAAAATTTATATATATGTAGGGTAAGGTAGGGGCTCAGCTTTATTTTAATTTTTGCCTGTGGCTCTCCAGAGAGGGAACCTGGCAGATCGCAAAGAGTGGGACACGACTGAGCAACCGAGCATGCGTGCACGTCCGGTTATCTCAGCACTGTTTCTTTTTTCCCCTTTTCAAAAATCAGTTGACCATGGGTGTATGAGTTTCATTTTTGGATTCAATTCTATTCCATTTACCTATACATCTATTCTTACCCTAGTATCACATTGTTTTGGTTAGTGTTGTTTTCTTGTAAGTTTTTAAATTGGGATATGTTAGTCTTAAAACTTTATTTTTCTTATTCAAGATTATTTTGGCTATTCTGAGACCCTTGCAATTCTATATGAATTTTAGGATTATCTTAGCAGTTTCTCATAGAAGCCAGCTGGGATTCTGATAGTGATGTGTTGATTCTGTAGACCAGTTTGGGGAGTGTTGCCATGGATCTCATGATCCATGAACAAGGGATGTTTTCCCATTTACTTAGTTCTTGTTTAATTTTTAAAAACAATATTTTATGGTTTTAAGAATATAAGATTTAAAAAACAGAATATAAGATTTATACTTGATTTGTTAAATCTGTTCCTAAGTATGTTATTATTTTTGCTGTTATTGCACATGGGATTGTTTCCTTAATTTCATTTTTAGATTGTACCCTTATGTATTTTTAAAGCTCAGACTTTATCTCTGCTTTATTTCCCAAACCCTAATTGAGCATCTATATACCTCTGGAATTTTTTTTAATTGGTCTAAATTTTTTAATTAACTTTTAAAAATTGAAGTATTAGTGGATTTACAATGTTGTTAATTACTGCTGTGCAGCAAAGTGATTCAGTTATATGTATATTTGTTTATATGTGTATATATATCTTTTTTATGGCATGTGAGATCTTAGTTCCCTGACCAGGGATTGAACCCACGCCTCCTGTGTTGAAAGTGCAGAGTCTTAAGAACTGGACCACCAGGGAAGTCCAGTACATTATTTTTTTTACAATATACTCCTACTGTACAGCACAGAGCTTGTTTATCCATTATTTATATAAAAGCTTACATATGCTGACTCCCAATATCCTCATCTTTGACTACCAATTTGTTCTCTGTATTCATGATTCTGTTTCTATTTGTGTCATATTTTATACTCCCACATATAAGTGATATCATATGTTATTTGACTTTCTGACTTCACTTAGTTTGATAGTCTCTAGTTGTATCCATGTTGCTGCAGATCTGGGATTTTTCCAGTCTCTGGGAATTCAGGGATGAACAATGACACTGGAATGTGAATTCCTTGAGGTGGAGACTGGTTTCCTGGTTTCCTGCAGTTGGTTCGCCAATCTGACCTCATGTCCTTGGCTTTATTTCAGGGTTTCCTGGAGGATACCTTCCTCTTTTATGGACATTACACCATTGATGGGGTGAAATTCCAGAATTTCATCTATGATCTGCCTCTGGCTTATCTGTTAAGCACAATTGCCTACCTGGCTCTGAGCCTTGTTTGGATAGTGAAAAGGTACAGTTTATCTTGTCATTGTGTTCTCTTTGAATTACTCTTGATGGTTGGAGTCTCTTGGGGGTCTGTGGACTCTGGGAGCCATTGCTCAAAGGATGAGAAGAATCCAAGGGTGGGCTTTATGGAAAAAAGATTTGTGAATGTGCTGGAGGCTGTGGAGACCTGGAGGAAATGGAGGCAGCATTTGGGACCTGGAGTAGCAGCCTGGAGTTTTCAGTCAATCACTATTGAACAAATTCCCCCAGCATTATCTTTGATCTGGTGTGTATGCTAACAGGTCTCTATTGGGTTGCAAGTGGCAGAATCCCAACTCTGACTAACTGGGATAAAGGGAAATTGAGTGGCTGAGAGAACCAAGGAAGAGAGGAAACTCCAGATTACAGGAAGGACAGGATGTAAGAATGGATTCAAAACAACCCAAAGCATGGGCTCCTGCATCTCTGATTCTGCTGGTGGCAGCTTCCTTGTATGGAGTCCCAGGATCATAAGCTCAGAAATCCTTTGAAGGAACTCATTGCCTCTGCTTCATTCAGGCACCCAATCCTGACCCTTCAGTTGTGGCCAGTGGGTTAGGGTCATATGAGAATGTGGCATTTCCCATGGTGGACAGATATTTTAGTGGGAGATGTCAATTCCAAGAAAAATGAGGAATATTAATTACTTGAAGTTACTTTAACAAACAACTGTCCCCGAAAGTACAGTGGCCCAACATGGTGAAATTTATATGTGAACTTCCTCACATAAAGTTCTTAGTGGGTACAGGTTAGTGTAGAAGACTCCTTCTCAGTCCTGCCAGAGCTCAGGCTGACTGAAGCTTAGCCATCATCTGCATGTGTGGCTTTGCTGTTCCTCTTGAGGGCTGGAAGGGAAAACGACCTTGGAGGAGAATTACATGGAGGTGTTTCTGGGCTCAGCCTGAGAGTGATGGACTTCACTCACATTCCATCGGTATAGCTTAGTCACATGACCACAGCCCACTGCAGGGGAGGCTGAGAAATGTTGTTCTTGGCTGGCAGCCACTTCTCAGCACTTGTGCTATGCTATGGAAGGAGAACCACACCTTCCTGATGGGACAGCTTACTGTCTCCAACCCAAGTGGGAAGCTTGGATGAACACCTCTCTTACCCACTTCATTGTCTCTATAAGAGTCAGGCAGTGCTATAAGCTATGGGGCTGTGAAGCTCCTTATTATAGATGTGAAAGAGACCAGGGTGATAGAGTCTGAGTTTGTCCTCCATGGAGACCAGGGTTCACCCACAGGGAGAACCCCAGAACCCAGCTAGGCACTTGTGTCCTGAGTCAGAATCTATGAGATGAAAGTGAACTGATGTGTGTCTATTCCCCACCAGACAGATAGCGTATTGACGAGAAGGAGCAGTCATTCTGCTCATCTTGAAGGCAGAAAGATGCTTAGTAAAGAAATGGTTGACTGGGGCTCTGGCTTTGCTGTTTGTGCCCGTGGTAGGGGCAGATCCTAGTTTTATTGACCTTCTGTGTAGACAGTATGGAGGGGACCTCTGTAAGACAAAGGGCATGGAAATATCTTTTGCATATTATAAAAAATAAAACCAAGGCCTCATGAACACGTTGCTTGAGGTGCTTCCAGGGCCTTGGAAGGGGCCCTGAAGAAGAAGCTTTATTAGCTGAACAGTGAATCCACCTGCGGGTCTTGATTGAGCTCTTTCACCTAACGGCCTTGATTGTTTCATGGTAAAGCCTGCAGAGAGGGTGCCTGTGATGTAATGGCGAGCAGCCTCCCCAGGGAGGAGGAAGTGCTATAGGGTAGCAAAGAGGGTGGATTTGGGGTCCACAGACCAAGGTTCAAATGTCACTCACCTCTTTGGACCTCATTTTCTTCGTCTGTGAAATGTACACACCTCGAAGGGTTGTTGGGAGGATTAACTGAAACGGGGCAGGTGAAGGACTTACCACTGGGCCCGGCACCTTGTAGACATTTATTAAATTAAAATCATTATCGTCATCATCATTATCGTCATCATCATTACCACCGAACTAGCCCCAGTTCTGCCTCTAGCCCTCTGGACCTAGGAAATAATTTTTTCCTTCCCTAGATCTTAGTTTTCTCATCCGTAAAATGTAGGTTTGGTCTAAATCAGACCATTCAATTGGAGTGGGACCTCAGAATCACCATGGAGCTTTATAAATAGCATATTTCTGGATGCACCCCCCCTCCCCCATGAGACATACTAAATTAAAAACCTCAGGATATGGAATCACCTGGGAATCTACATTTTGGAAAAGCAGCCCAGCTGGTTCTGACATAAATGCCTTGCTATGAACCTTTGGCAGAATGACTGATTGCTATAATTCCTTCCACTTCTATTTATGTTCACAGTTCGGTAGCAAATCCTAAAAATACCCTGGTTTGTCTACAGAGTGTGTGTCTACAGAGTGTTTGGCCTTTGATGGTCTTATTGCTATGTCAAGTGCCAGAGTATGTTTTCCAGAAAAGCATTTGAATGAGTATTGATTATGAACTTGTGCAACAGAGTTGTGTCTGACTTAAGCAGGTGCTCACTAAATATTTGGTTATTTTACTGTTTAAGTCATTTACTCATGCATTTATTCATCAGATGGATAGTGGCTATATTTATATCCAGGTCCTCTGGATATAGAGGTAGCAAGACAGCCAGGATACTTGTCATCAAGGAATTTAAATTTTAGTTAGGATAAGGACTTACAAACAGTGAACACATTAAATAACATGATTGTAGGTTAGGTTATTGCCGTCAGGGAAAGTAAAGAGACTGACTTGAAGTAGGAAACCACAACTTTAGATGGGATAGCGGGGGAATCTATGGAAGGAAGGGATATTTGAGTGAAACCCCAGGGAATAAGAAGAAGGCAGCCATGGGAAGAGGGGAGGGCAGAGAGAGCTGCAGGTGCAAAGGCCCTGAGGCTGCAGGAGAGGTTTAGGTGTTTATGGAAAAGAAAAAAAGCTATTGTCATTACAGCAGAGTGGCTTTCTGGGAGGAAAGATGGTGCCAGGCAGGATCATGTAGGACTCTAGGGTGTGTTGAGTTCAGATTATATTCTAGCTGTGGAAAAAGGTCATTGAATGGATAAAGGGACCGATTTTCAACAATGAGATGCCTGTTGCTACATATTTAGAATAGTCCAAAGCTGGGACATGCATGTCAAAATCGGTGGAAGGTGCAGTCAAGTGTATATCCTTTTAATTTTAGACGAAGCCAATCCACAGGCCTGTGTCTTGTTGTTCTTATAAAATGGATAATCATGTTTTGGGGTCAGGTCGGTGGAAGGGTTCAAAATCAACCTGATCCGGAGTGAGGAGCATTTCCAGAGTTACTGCAACAAGATCTTTGCAGGCTGGGACTTCTGCATCACCAACCGCAGCATGGCGGACCTGAAGCACAGCAGCCTGCGTTACGAGCTCCGGGTGAGTGCTGCTTGGGTTTCTCTTGGTGGGAGCTGAGGCTGCAGCCTGCAGAGGAGCTAGTGGGGGCCGGGCTGTCCTGTTTAGTTACCTTCCCCTGGGTAGTTTTCAGGAGCTTTTTGAAGAACCACTTCCTGAGGTTGATCACTTTAGCTCCAAGCTTAAAACTGGTGAACTGGAGCTGGGAAAAGAGATGGTATCTTCCCTTCTCATCTACCACCTTGAACTGTTTTTTTTTTTTTTTAGGAAACTTATTTTAATCCTAGTTGAAGAAAACTGATTCTTTTTTTTTTTTTAATGTTGTTGGAGTATAGTTGCTTTACAAAGTTGTGTTAGTTTCAGATGTACAGCAATGTGATTCAGTTATTACATGTACATATGTTCATTCTCTTTTAGATTCTTTTCTAATATAGATTATCACAGAATACTGAGTAGTGTTCCATGTGTTATACAGTAGGTCCTCGTTGGTTTGTACTGTTATTTTTATGCTTGACGACAACCAGGAGAAATAGAACATAAAACAGGACAAATAGAACTAAGAATGCTATGATGATAAGGTAAATGTGGAGAATATGAAAATGCAGAATTTCCAAATTAATCAGGATAAAAGGAGTAACAGATACCATCTTTATCAAACCTGCCCAAAAAGGAGGAGAGACAGGTGATATCAAAAGACTAACATGAGATAGAAGGAATCAAATCAGGTGTATTATTTGTTTAAAGAAATAAAGCCTGCTGTGCTGTTTAGTCGTTCAGTTGTGTCCGATGCTTTGTGACCCAATGACCTGTAGCCCGCCAGGCTTCTCTGTCCATGGGGATATTCCAGACAAGAATACTGGAGTGAGTTGCCACTCCCTCCTCTAGGGGATCCTCCTGACCCAGGAGCTGAACGGAGGTCTCCTGCATTGCAGGTGAATTCTTTACCATCTGAGCTACCAGGGAAGCCCCACAATGCTTACTACATAATTACTACATTAGCTAATGTCCTGAATGGGTTATAGTTCAGTTTTCACATATATTGCAAAGTCTAATTGCAATCTTAAATAGGAGGTTCTGCCTTCACTTAGGCTATTGGTAGACTTGGAAACTGGTTGGGCTTGGTCTGAGAGGGTATCCTGGGGGAGATGAGTATTTAAGGAAACTGTAAGGATCGAGAAAGGAGGGCATGACGATGAGTCACAATTTCCACCCCTAAACATCCCTTCATCCCAGTGCTCACAAATGGGTTTTCTTTGGTTCTCAGGCAGATCTGGAGGAGGAAAGAATACGGCAAAAAATAGCAGAAAGGACCTCTGAAGAAACGATACGAATTTACTCTTTGAGACTCTTTTTGAACTGTATTGTGCTGGCCGTTTTAGCAGCATGCTTTTATGCAATCTACAGAGCGACTATATTCTCTCAAGAGCACATGAAAAAAGTAAGTGCTTCATGAAAGTCAGTTTAACTTTTATTCTGGTTGGGTGTTATGTATGCTAAGTGTATTGCAAGCCTGCAAGGAAGATACTATCATCATTCTGTTTTACAAATGGGAATATACATTTGGCTGTATGCCAAAAACCCTAAAATCAGATTGACCAACTTTTTATTTTCAGTAGGGGAAAAAAGCATCCAAAATAGAGTGTTTTGGGGTACCTACTCCTCCTGGAATTTCAGTATTCAAGTCTAGGCTGGACTGCCTGGATTTAAGCCCCAACTGTACTACTTTAGTAAGTAGGTAAAGGGGCCTCAGTTTACCTAAAATAACAGTGGTTTTAAAAATCCTAGTTGGTCTAGTGGCTCTGCTTCATGAAATCAGCCATCAGGGGCCCAGGTTCCTTCCATCTTGTAGCTCTGCCTTCCTTAGGATGTGGCCTTCTCCCATATGGCACAGGGCAGCCCACCATGTTCACATTCCAGCTAGTGGGGAGGAAGTGAAGGAGGTGGGGGGCAGCACATGGAGGTTGCACTTAAAACTTCTACGTATATCCCTTTGGCCAAAATTTAGTCAGATAGATATCTAGGGAGATAGATTTTGTATCAATGGGTAATTTACAGCATTTTCAAGGCTGTAGTACTAATTGACCTGGAATAGCCACTCTCTCCTTTCATAATAATAGAATTTCAGTGACATATGTGGCTATCTGGGATAAAAATAAAATTACAGCCTTGAAAATGCTGTAAATTACCCATTGATCCAGAATGCATGGGTTTTTAAATTTTTCACCTTAATAAATCAAGTAGAGCTTGTTTTTCATTCAGTATGGTACTAGATCACGGTTCCTCCGTTTGAACAGCCAAGGAAGAAGATGGCTTAGTTTTAGGTGCCATGTTGAATGAAAAAATGTTTTGTTTCATTTGCTAAATGTGTTTGGGTGTTTTTCCCCCTTACAGTTTAATGAGATATAATTAACATTCAACACTGTGTAAGTTTAAGGTGTTGAGCATAATGATTTGACACAGGTATAGTTGTGTTCTCTTAAGGTCAATTCATTTGTGATGCAATTTATTATACTCCTGACCAGTTTTGTTGTCTTCATAGGAAATTGACAAGATGGTTTTTGGAGAGAACCTCTTGATTCTGTACCTGCCTTCCATTGTGATCACGCTGGCCAATTTTATCACCCCAATAATCTTTGCCAAGATCATCCACTATGAGGATTATTCCCCCGGCTTTGAGATCCGGCTGACAATCCTTAGGTAATGCCTAGGCATGCCAAACAGGTCACCACTTGTCACCTCCCCTGCCCACAGGAGACATTGCTAATCAATTGTGCTACCTTCCCCTGCTGGGTCAAAAATCTTCTTCAGCCTTCAGATAGTCTCCACAAATGAATCTGATATTTCACATGCAGGGAAACCTGTTTGACTTAAGCATCTACTCAGCTGCAGTGTATTTTTGGTTCATGTATTAGCTCACTGACAGCTGAGGGCTTAGGGTGGGCCCTTGGAAGAATGTTGCTCTGAAGATGTTAGAAAGACGTGTATACCAGCAGGAGAGCGAGGAAGTGAGAGATAGAAGGGAAGGCAGCTAATAAAGGGTATGCTGTTTGGGAAGTTGTAACTGGGGCTCTGTTCTGCGTGACAGCTCAGGGAGTTTGCATGGAAAATATCTTAGGGTTTTCCTACTCAGGAGAGTGTTTGTTCTTCAACAAATGTTCACTCTCCCCTGCCTAAGGGTAGCTGAGTCCCAAGGGCATTAACTCCCCCACAAGTTCCATCCCACAGCCCCAACGCGTGGGCCTTGGGAAGAGAGTTACACTAGAAACTTGGAATAGGAACCTGAGACCTTTGCTGGAGTGAATGCTGAGAAAAATGTGGCCCAGACACCAACTGTGTGTGCTACTGTTGCCTTTTTATAATTTCTTGTAATATCTCTTCTCATGCTAAGAAATATTCAGTTTCATTAAAAAATAAATAAATAAATGCCAAGGGTAAAGCTGGACCCAGGGAGTTAACACACATGAGTTAAGGAGGCCCAGGTGGGGACTGTGTGAAACAGGAACGTTTTCTTTCTGCTTCTTAGGTGCCTCAGATGGTTTTTGCATCTTTAAAAAAAAAAGTTTTATTTTGGAAATTTTCAAATAGGACAGTATCATGACCCCTACGTGTGTCCATCACTTAGTTTCAACTATTTACCAACATTTTGCTAGTCTTTCATGCGGTTCCCCCACTCGGCTGGAATATTTTAAGCAAATCTCAGGCAACATGTTTCACCTGTAAAAGCTTCAGTGTATCTCTGAAGGGACAAGGACTTTTCTTTTTAAACATAGCCATCATCATGCCTCACAGAGTTGTCAGGTCCCTGATGGAGCTGCAGAGGGCTTTCTATGATTGGCTTGTCTTGGTTTGTTCAAATCAAGATCCAGAGAAAGGCCACCTGCTGTGTTGGGTTGTTAATGTTTCATAAATCCCTTTTGTCCTTTTAAATATCCCCCTCCCCTTGTGTTATGCCATTGGTTTGTGAGAGAAGCTGGGGCATTTGTCTTATATAATGTTCTTTATTTTGGGTTTAGATCATTGTTGCTGTGTGTCTTTTGTTTTTCTGTATCCACTCGTCATAATGACTGTGGATTCAGACTTTTTAATTAGATTCCAATTCAGTTTTGAGTTATGGAAGCCTCCCTGGCAGTGCTGGGTACTCACATCTCCCAGGAGGACAGAATATCAGGTGGACAGTGTAGGTTTGATCCGCAACCCACATACTTTTTAATATTTCTAATTCATTTAATTTTTTAAAATTACAAACCAAACAGTAGATGAACCATCTTTAAAGAAAACAAGCCCTCTGCCCTCCTGTCTTGAATCCACTTCCCCCCATCACCCCCTATCTACATGGTTCCTGTTGTTCATGCCAACATTCACACATTTGGTTTTCTTTTAAAAATAGGATTGTTTAAAAAAAAAAATAGGATTGTTTCTACCTGAGACTCTGCAATGTATTTTTCTACTTCTCAATATATCCTAAGCCATCTCTCAAAGCTGATACTTAGAAACTTCAATTAGTTCTTTTCAGGCGTTGTTCTGAGCTTGGCTACATCATCATGGATTCAGGACTTCCCAGCTTTCTGACCTGTTTGTTTGTTTTTTGCATTAAAAAAATGTATATAAAATATATAAACATGAAAATATATGTAACATGAAAATATATTTAATACGATAAAATATATATAACATGAAATTTACCGTCTTAGCCACTTTTGAGTGTGCAATTCAGTGGCGCAAAGTACATACTCAGCGTTGTGCCACCATCACTACTGTCATTTCCAGAACTTACTCATCATCTGAAACTGAAACTCAGTGCCCCTTTGTGGGTTTGCTGTTAAGAAAGGCAACGTCTCTGCACCCAACCCTGTTCCGAGGGGCCAGCTCGGCCCGAGCCCTTCTCATCCCGCGCTCCCCGCCTCCCCTCTTCCCTGCAGGTGTGTGTTCATGCGGCTGGCTACCATCTGTGTGCTGGTGTTCACCCTGGGCTCCAAGATTACTTCCTGTGACAGCTACTTGTGTGAGCTCTGTGGCTACAATCAGAAACTCTACCCGGTGAGGCTGGGGGAGGGTGCCCCACGAGGTGGGTCATTTGGAGGGGGTGGTAGCATTAAGATTGAGAGAACAGCCCATGGAGCAAGGGTGTGAATCCCAGGTGATCCTCTTTCTTGCTGTGTAGCTGAGTCCGTCACACCAGGAACTCCTAAGGGCTTGAAAACCCAAGTCTGTGCTGGAGCTCAGAGGAGTGTTGGCTGGTGGCCTCCAGAGGCACAGGATCGGGGGCTGGAAGTGACCTTGGTAGAACCTGGCTTTTTCTGCTCCAAGTCAAGCTTATTTCTCTCTTGGTTTCAGTGCTGGGAGACCCAGGTTGGGCAGGAAATGTACAAGCTGATGATCTTTGACCTCATCATCATCTTGGCTGTGACACTTTTTGTGGATTTTCCTAGAAAGTAAGTGTGAGGGGCACCCCTCTTATCTCCACCCCCCATCCCTCCCTCAACAGGCTCCCATCACCGCTGCTCTTCACAAAGTGCTGGATGATTCCACATCCTGGAAACCACATCCTGGAAACCACTTGACACCCACTGGTGCCTTTCAGACAGCTCCAGGCCATCACCCCCGGGTCCATTATGTGCTTGGTTGAAAGGCAGCACAAAGAGCAGAAATGATGCTGCTTTCCGGGGGATGCCCTCGGGGTCACTTCTTGCCAGTTCACAGCCATGGGCCCTGTTAGTGGAGGCCCTCCAGGCTGCAGTGGACACTGCATTTCCTAATCTGTGTTCAAGCCCAGCACTGCCTGTTTCCTCATCACGTGACCTTGGGCAAGCCACTGAAGCTCTGTGCCTGTTTTCCTACCTGTGAAATGGGAATAGTGGCAGTACCCACCTCATACCCCTTTGGTGAAGATTAAATGACAAAATGCAGATAGTACTAAGAACACTCCATGCCACAAAACTCAACAAAACATTAACTCTCACCATCAGGATTATCATTACCATGCCATCATTAAAAAACATTTTTTTTTCTCAGCATCTTTTTAAGCCTTAAGTGAAACTGTTCACTTAATCACATGTACAAATTCTTTTTTACTCACATTTACAAAGTCTCCTGGCATATGCCAGAAGTTCAATAAACCCGTAAAAGTAAACATTAAAAAAGAAACTGTCCTTTTAAAAAAATTACACAAATATGATGTGAATGTTTATATTAAAATTTTTTAGTATTTAAATAAATACAGAAATTCTGAGAGTAGTGAGAGCCCTCTTGTTACCTTACCCCTAATTCCCCAGACCCACCCCACTCCTTGGAGGTGGCCAGTTGTTAACACCTGGGGGTAGATCCAGCCATCCTTAAAAAGGAAAAAGCATATTTGCATAAATACATATGTAAATAAACACACAGTCTTGCTGGAAGTGTCCTCTTCTTGCCCACAAATGGGATCATGTTATATCTACATGGGTCCACAGCTTGCTTTTTCCCCCCCATGACTTTACATGTCAGGACACCTATGTTTTAAAGACTGTGTGATAGTCCGATGTACACACGGCTTCTAATTTGATGATGAAGCCCCTGCTGATGGGCGCTTAGGTTGTTACCTAGTATCTTTGCTAATATGTGGTAATGCTACAGTGAATAGCTGTGTGTATGTATCTCAGGCCTCTGATCCTAGGATTTCTGTAGGAAGCTTCCAGAATTCCAGGAGTGGCATGCAGGGTGATAGGTCCCTCATAAGCCATTATCTGTGTGGATGATCAATAGCGCTGTACTTCTTGAATGGAGTGGCACGCCAGCACACAGAGATTGCCCAGGTCATTTACTTCAGTACAGTGCAGTGCAGTAGGCTGTGTTATAATCCCCCTACATTTCAGATGAGAAAAATGAGCCTTGTCTGATGTTACTTGGCTGGTAAACTATAGATCTGAGACTTGGACCCTAGTCTTAATGACTCCAGAGTTTACTGTACTTTGCATCTTCTAGACATAGGACTAACACTTTGCGTGAGAAGTATGCATGGAAACAGCCCTAATTGTGTGGATGTGATTCTCTGCCTTGGCCGACGCTGGTAGTCCAGGTGGTAAACTGTCCTGTTCGTTTGCAGGATCCTGGTGACCTACTGTTCCTCCTGGAAGCTTTTTCAGTGCTGGGGAGAGCAGGAGTTTGCCATCCCTGATAATGTTCTGGGGATTGTTTACGGGCAAACCATTTGTTGGATTGGAGCCTTTTTCTCACCCCTTCTTCCTGCAATTGCAACCTTGAAGTTCATTATCATCTTTTACGTGAAAGAGGTAAGGAGAGGTGGGGTTGAGGGGTCGATAACCTGGATCATTCTTGATCTTGCAGGACATTCAGCACACACATGCCTGGAGCCCACCCAGATCCCATCAGATGTATCAAAATTGCATCCCTTATTTGATATATATTTTTTTATTCTGAAAAAAAACTTTGAATGGATTTTCACATTTTTATCATTTTGAGAGTTGAAGAATGGTGTTGCTCCTATGGTTTAAATGTTTTTTGTATGTAGCTAAGAGTTGAGTTGCAATTGATCAGTAAGTTGACAGTGGTTCATTTTGATGATATTTAAGAAAAGGTTTATTAATTAAAATTTTGTAATTTTCTGCTTGGCTTTTGGAGCTGGTGCATTTATTTTCAGTTCTCAATTATTTGTGTAGCTCCTCAAACAGTTCATAGATTGTAGGCGTTGTACCTGAACTAAGGGCTCAGTGGGTGAAGTAGCCCTACAGATGACTAATTTATTTTGGCTTTTTAATCAAACTTTTAAAAATTATAGATGAAATATATGCTCACTGTTAAACATTTAAACAGTGCAGGTATGTATTCCATCCCTTCTTCTAGAGGTAACCCTCTGTTAATAAGCCCAACATGATTGAGCACCTAATATACCACGCCCTGGGGATTAAAAAATGGAAGTAATAATAGTATTATTAATAAGAACAACAGTACTAACAGGTGATAATAATACTGTGTCCTCCCACTCTGCTGAACACTATATAGATGATCATGTAATACTTTAGGTACTGCTAGTAATCCATATTTTATAAATTAGGAAGCTGAAGTTCAGAGAGGTTAAGTAACTGATCCAAAATCACATAGCTTATCAGTGACTCCTGAGATGTGAACCCAAGTTTACCTCACTCCAGAGCCTATGCTCTTAATCCAGTAGGCGGGGCCTTTCATTGGGTCCATACTTTTTACCCTGCCCTTTTGGTCTTTGAAGAGTGTTCCAGTGCTTTCATTTGAAAACTTCAGTTGGCTGAAGTCACCACAGGAGAAATGGATGCCAGAAAGCTCGTAGGAACTTTTTCTTCTTCCAGAAAATATCAGTTAGGCAGTGGCTTCCCAGCGTGTAGCTCAGTCAAGACAGCGTGGGGGTAATAGAATGGGTTGCAGGCACTGAACTGAGTTCTGACACCCCAGCTTGACTGGGCAGCTTCCCCCAGACACCCTGACCAGATGCCAGGGTCCCTCCGCTCACAAGATGGTCTGACTGCTGTGGTCACAGGAGCTTGATGCTCCTGAGACTGTAGCTTTCTGCAATACTCAGGAGGAAGTATATGCCTCTTTCTCTCCCCTTCCCCACTTGATCTTCCCTTCAAGTCTTTCCCTCAGTGGAAATATTTATTTTTAACATATAGGAAAAGAACTTAAGCATTGGGGGTCCAGTGCAGAGGGTGCTGTTTCGGTCCCCAGTCAGAGAGCCTGAAATCCCACATACCTTATGGCCAAAAAAACCAAAAACATAAAAACAGGAACAGTATTGGAACAAATTCAGTAAAGACTTAATATATAGGAAAAATCTGCGTGCATGTAAAAATGCAAGCAAAGTATGTCCTATTCTGGTATGTATATATTTAATACATATTTAAACCTCTAAGGAGAATACTTTTTGAATCCTTTCAAATCTTCATGTTGTATACTGTAAATATATCACGTTGTATACTCTACCTTACAATTTTGTCAATTATACCTCAGTAAAGCTGAAAAAAGAAATTTACAGTAAAATGTTTAAAAATACATTTAAAAAAATGAGATCATACAGTACAAAGTTTTGACATCCTGGCTTTTCATTTGACAGTGCCATATACGATGTAAAGCTCTTGTTTTTTCTAAGGGCTAGGTGGTTTTCCATCATATGGATCACTTTAACCTTTAAGGAACTACATTGATAGCTGCTTTGGTTGCTTTCAGTTATTCTGTTATCAACAACTGTAGCAGTAAATACCATATACGTGTGTTTTGGCCATTTTTTTCATTTTGGCCTATATTGCTGACTACCCTCTAGAAAGGTTTTAGCCAATTTATATTCCCACTGTAATGCATGACTGTGCTCATTTATCCTCAAAGAAGCAGTGCTCTTCATTTTTCCTCTTTCTTCCTTTCTCTCCTTAGATAAGTCTTCTTTATACCTGCAGACCCTCTCCGAGGCAGTTCAGAGCATCCAATTCTAATTTCTTCTTCCTGTTGGTGTTGCTGATTGGACTGTGCTTGGCAATTATACCTCTGACAATCAGCATGGCACGGTAAATATGACTTTCTTTCTAGAACATTCCCTCCTTGACTTGTCCATCTTTTGTGTTAAAGCCTTCTTTGCATTCTTTATTGGCACCAGCAGAGGTCAGTAAGTCACTCTTGGCTGTCAGGTCCACCTTTGTTTTGGCATCACCCTCTGGATGCTGAAATGTCTTGGTTCACTTCTGAACTGGGACTTGCAGGTTTCCCATTGGTTTTGAGAGTGTTGTTTGGGTCTGTTCCACCCGATCCCTTTTCCTAGGACCTCTCTTCTGGTTGCCTTTGGGATTGTTTGCTTCTGATTGTAAGGATAATGCATGGTCACTGAGAAGACTTGGAGTGTCTTCTATGTTCCAGGCACTGTGCTAGGTGCTGGGGGTATAAAGACAACTCGGACATGGAACAGGGGAGTGTGTCATCTAGTGTGGAATTTGGAAAGAAGGGAAATGCTCAGTCCTGAGGATGAGAAATTGAGGGTTCCAGACCCAGTGATGCCACTTCTTCTGTTATAACCATTTATACCAGATGCTGGAAAGAGAGTAAACAACTTAGCCTTTACCAGCTATATGGTTTCTATAGCACTTGTTCCGTTCAACTGATTATATATCATCTATGTGGATATGAGAGTTGGACTGTGAAGAAAGCTGAGCACCGAAAAATTGATGCTTTTGAACTGTGGTGTTGGAGAAGACTCTTGAGAGTCCCTTGGACTGCAAGGAGATCCAACCAGTCCATCCTAAAGGAGCTCAGTCCTGGGTGTTCATTGGAAGGGCTGATGCTGAAGCTGAAACTCCAGTACTTTGGCCACCTCATGCGAAGAGTTGACTCATTGGAAAAGACCCTGATGCTGGGAGGGATTGGGGGCAGGAGAAAAAGGGGACGACAGAGGATGAGATGGCTGGATGGCATCACCGACTCGATGGGCATGAGTTTGAGTAAACTCCGGGAGTTGGTGATGGACAGGGAGGCCTGGTGTGCTGCAATTCATGGGGTCGCAAAGAGTCGGACATGACTGAGGGACTGAACTGAACTGATGTTGCAACCTATGCAGCCTATGTTTCATCTATGTATATAAGCCAGCAGGCAAGACTATGATCCAGTAAAACTTTATAAAAAATAGACTGTGGACCAGATTTGGTCTGTGGGTTGTAGTTTACCACCCCTTGACTTAGTCTCATGGAATTCCATTTCTTTATCTTATTTTGTTCCATTTCTTCATTTTTTTTTTTCTTATACTGGAGCAGGTTGCCATTTCCTACTCCAGGGTATCTTCCCGACCCAGGGATCAAACTCATGTCTCTTGCACCTCCTGCATTGGCAGGTGGATTCTTTACCACTGCGCCACATTTCTTCATCTTTAATTGAAAAGCCTAGAACTTTGAATTCCTCTCTCAGGTTTTATTATTTTTTAAACTAATTTGAGTCTGTGTCAGTTCAGTTCAGTTCAGTCGCTCAGTCATTTCCAACTCTTTGTGACCCCATGGACTGAAACACCCCAGGCTTCCCTGTCCATCACCAACTCCTGGAGCTTGCTGAAACTTATGTCCATCGAGTTGGTGATGCCATCCAACCATCTCATCCTCTGTCATCCCCTTCTTCTCCTGCCTTCAGTCTTTCCCAGCATCAGAGTCTTTTCCAATGAGTCAGTTCTTCACATCAGGTGACTAAAGTCTATGTATGTTTATTGTAATGGTAGTATGTTATACATTGAAAAATTCAAGTAGTACAGAAAAGAGTATAAATTAAAGAGATTTATTATGAAAAGGGTATTTTTTAATGCATATGGAATAATACTGTTTTGGCAACTTAATTTTTTTCACTTTTATATTATGTCCTTTTCCAGGCCAGCACATGCAGAACCCTTATTCTTTTAAAACATTTACTTTGAATTTTTTAAATAAGAAATGCATTCCCATGGCACAGAACTGGAAAAGTATAGAAGACTGTATGGTAGAAATTCATCCTCCAATTCCGTTTCCTGCCACTTAGTTTCTGCCTAAGACAGTCATGTCTACAAATGTGTGTGTCCCTCTTGGTGGTTCTTTATTCCATTGTATGACTGTATTGTAAATTGCTCATCCATGTTCTTAAACAACATTTAGGTTGTGTCCAGGAATCTGTTTTTATCCCTAAAATAGGGCTGCAGTAGAAAATTTCCTACACAGAACTTTGTGGTGTGACTATAGGCAATTCTTGTAAGTCTTAATTTTTTCCCATTGTAATTTTATTTTAAAAATTTTCAAATCTATAGAAAAGTTGAAAAAATAGCAACAATGACAACTTATATACCCTTCACCTGGATGTCCCAATTGTTGCATCCTGCTATATTTGTCTTCTCTCTCTCTCTCTGCATACCTTTTACGTGTGTGATGATGATGAACCACACAATGATTGTAGGCATCATAACATTTCATTCCTAAATACCTAAACCTTCACTTCCTAAAAGTAAGGACATTCTTCTTATATATCCACAATAACATGATCACACCTAAGAAAATTAATGCCAATATCATATTCCTGCCATTGCCAAGTTTCTCCAGTTGTCTCCAAATAGTCTTTTAGAGCTTTATTTTTTAAATGAGGATCTTTTTCAAGTTTCACTCATTACTTTTGGTTACCATGTTTCCTTAGTCTTTCTTAACCTTTAATTCTTCAAAAAGTCAAGGCCAGTCTCCTCACCTCTAAATTAATAGGCTGAAGAGTGGTCTCCCCACATTCTAGAGCTGTTTTCTCACAGCGTCATTTAACTTGATCTTTCGTGTTTTTTTTTAACTTCTGTGCTCAATTTATTGCTGTTCTAGAATATCACCAGAGTATCTATCTTCGAGTAACAGGTTCTTTTTTTTTTAAACTGAAGTATAGTTGATTTTCAGTGTTGTGTTAGTTTCAGGTGTATAGCAAAGTGATTTAGTTATATAAATATATTAGTTTTCAGATTCTTTTCCTTTATAGGTTGTTATAAAATACTGAGTTTAGTTCTCTGTGCTGTACAGTAGGTCCTTGTTGATTATCTGTTTTATATGTAAGTAGTATGTTTATCAGAGCAGGTGATGGCACCCCACTCCCATACTCTTGCCTGGAAAATCCCATGGACAGAGGAGCCTGGTAGGCTGCAGTCCATGGGGTCGCTAAGAGTCAGACACGACTGAGCGACTGCACTTTCACTTTTCACTTTCATGCATTGGAGAAGGAAATGGCAACCCACTCCAGTGTTCTTGCCTGGTGAATCCCAGGGATGGGGGAGCCTGGTGGGCTGCCGTCTGTGGCGTCGCACAGAGTCGGACACGACCGAAGCGACGTAGCAGCAGCAGCAGCAGTATGTATATGTTAATCCCAAACTTCTAATTTATCCCTGACCACTCGTCATCTTCTTTGGTAACCATAAGTTTGTTTTCTATGTCTCTGGGTCTATTTCTGTTTTGTAAAAAAGTTCATTTTATTCTTTTTTTTTTTATATTACAAATACCATTTCTCTGTCTGGCTTTCTTCACTTAATATGATAATCTTTAGGTCCATCCATTTGCAGCAAATGGTATTATTTCATTCTTTTTTCTGGCTGAGTAATATTCCAGGGTGTGTGTGTACCACATCTTCCTATTCATTCATCTATCGATGGATACTTAATTTGCTTCCATGCAATGAACATTGGGGTGCATGTATCTCTTCAAATTAGAGTTTTCTCTGGATATATGCCCAAGAGTAAGATTGGAGGATCATATATGGTAACTCTATTTTTTAATTCAACCTTCTGTCCTCAATTTCTTGTAAACTGGAAAGCAAGTCTTGGGACTTGAGACTTCAGGGTAAGCATTTTTGCCTGGAATATTCCAAAAGGCCCATGAGGTCAGGCAGTTCCTCGTGGGTCACTGTTGGTGAAGCTTTGTGGGTGTGCAGAGGAGAGGTGATCAGCCTGTGCTGCAGGCGGGCCCTGAGCCTCATGCTTTGTGTCCTGGCAGCATCCCTTCCTCCAAAGCCTGTGGGCCGTTCACCAACTTCAACACCACCTGGGAGGTGGTCCCCAAGACAGTGAGCACCTTCCCCAACTCACTGCAGACGCTGGTTTATGGCATCACTTCGGAAGCCTTCGCGGTGCCTTTTTTCATGATCATCTGGTAAGTGAAAACCACCTCGGCTCTGCGAGTATTTTCCACTGGGACTGGTGGGCTGCTCTCCGCTGGGAAATGGAGCTCACCTGAGACACTTGGTGTGATACTGAACCTCTCTGAGCTGTACTTTACCTAATCTCTAAAACGCTGTAATAATAGTAATTTTTTCAGAATATTGTTGAACAGGTTCAGGGAGATCCCAAATACAAGACACTTAGCCAGATGGCTGACTTATAAAATATAACCCAATAAACACTGCATATTATTAGCATTACTGCATACTATTAGTGTCACAAAATTAGTTGCTTTTCAGAAAAGGAATTGATAACTGGGCTGAGAGAAGAGTACCAGTGTGGGAGCATGCCCTTGAGCCCTGGCTCTACCATTTACAAGCTGTGTGGCCTCAGGTCATCACATATCCTCTCTGAGTCTTGATTTCCTCCCCTGGAAAATGGGAATAAAAATGGCACATACCTTGTTAGGGCTGTGAGAAGAAGGACACATGGTTACATGTGTGAAGTGTTTAGCAGAGGACCTGGCCTTTAGTGAAGAAGGCTCAGTAAATGACAAGGGTTGGGTGCAGAGGTGATGAGGGCTTTTGTGCAGTGATTCATTTTGCGTGTTGAAGTAATTCTAATCACAAATGTGTGTTGAGGGCTTACTTTGTACTAGGCCTTTGTTCTAATTACTGTCCATTCTCATTATTCATAAATTCCATATTTTTTCTGTATTGTAAATATGCTTACTAGCTAAAAAATTTTTGTAACCAAAAAATCAATACTAGTGATGCTTTTATGTGGTTATTTATGGACATGTGTTGAGTAACAAAAAATGAGTTGCTTTGACATACAGTATCTCAGTGCATTTATTATTCCACTGCTGTAGTGGAATATCACAGTCTGGGTCACTAAATATTATTTCTCATGGTTCTGGAGCCTGGAAGTCTGGGATCAAGATGCCAACATGGTCAGGTGAAGATCCTCTTCCAGCTTACAGACTTCTTATATTCTGTAATGGCAGAAGGGGCTAGGGAACTCTCTGACATCTCTTTAATAGGGGCACTAATCCTATTTGTGAAGGCTTCATCCTTATGATCTAATCACCTCCCACAGGCCTACTTTCTAATACCATCACCTTGGGAGTAGGACTTATATGAACTTGGAGAGCACAGTATTCAAACCATAGCTCAGACTGTAACTAAGTATCCTAAATTTTTATGATCTGTTTATAGTGCCATGTTTCTTGCATTTTGTGCTTTTGGTGGTGGGTGATTTCACTGTTCATGCAGACATGAAGTGTTGTCTAGGGTTTTCTAAGTGCACTAAGGCTGGGATGTGTTTTATGTAGATACTGTGCTTGTTAGATAAGCTTCATTCGGGCACACATCATGGTGCTGTTGACTGTGAGTTCAGTGATATTAAATAAGGTGTCTTTAACAGAAACAGTTATTATGTATTAATAACTTTGTTTCTCAAGAAACATAAAAGAAAGTATTGATCAGCTGACAAAAATGTTGTGACCAGAGGCGCAAAGGAACCTACTCTGTATTTCCTTTGGAATCATTGTTTCAGAATTCACTGGTTTAGTGTTCCTGGAAACTATAAAATTACCACAAATCACTGAGTTGATTGTAGCTTACCTGTACTAACTCCTGCAGTCATCAGTTATCCTATGATGTAGATATTACTACAGTAAAATCCCACCATGATGCAAGAAAAGGGTTAAAAAATTTACTTGTTAAAGGTAAGATACCTTTGCTATTAATAAGATGATGTGGGAGTTGTAGCCCATTAGCCTGGAATTCCATGGATCCTGGACTCAGCCGCTCCATCGTTGTTGGTTCACTCCAGCTGTGGCTTGGCTGCCACCCTGTGGTGGTGGTTACCTGACCTGGCTTCCACATCTTTGGGGGTCACTCTTGACCTTGGGCCTGGGGACTTGCAGAAGAGAAGACTGACACCCCTGATTCCAGTGGCCCTCATTTCCTTAGCCTTCTCTAGGGAGATTGAACAGGCAGCCACCTCCCCTTCGTGGATGCCTGCTGTTTTCCTGGGCACTTGCCCTTCAGTTCACTTGTCCATCTTCTCAAAGATAATAACTTCAACCACCCACAATTGAGGCCTGGGGCTGCACAGAAAACAGGAGCAATTGCCGGTTGCTTTGATTCAGAATTGTGTTTTGTTAGGCTTGTTATCACTGGGTTTTACTCTGTTACCCCCATTTTACAGATGAGGGGGCTGAGGCCAGAGAGGCTCCACGGTGATCATCCACAGTCACTTTATTCTGTGCTGAGCTGAGCTTCTGTCCCATCGCCTCCCCTCTCCCCTCTCACCTGTGTGACAGCGGAGATGCAAGAGCGTTAGTATTAACTTAGAAAGCAAGGCAGGAATCAGTCTTTGCTGCCACTGCCAAATAAAACCTTTCTGGCTGTTTCTGATGCTCTCTGCTTGGGAGAGATGAGGGTTTTCTTTTTTTCTTCTGTTTGAACAAAAGTAAAACTATTCCAGGCCAAGTGTATGGGGTCGTTTTCCAGTGGCCTTCAGATGGTACAGATTACCTAGTGATCTCTCGCCTTACGTTGCAGCCTGATTATGTTTTACTTCATCGCTCTAGCCGGAGCGCACAAGCGGGTGGTTGTCCAGCTCCGAGAGCAGCTGAACCTGGTAAGAAAGCTCCGGTCCCGGGGTTCAGGGCCAGGGACATCTATGGCAGGACACGGAAAGGAATGGGGAGCTTCTCCCAGGAAGAGAGAGTGGGACACTTCCATCACCACTACCCCAGAACTCTGCCTTCAGGCCCAGCCTCCTCCAGCTCCATTTAGGTCCTTGAGTCATCTGTGCCTTCAGAACGTGCACCCTCATACTGGGCTGGGATGCAGAGGGGAAGAAGGGAGCCAGGACTGCTCAGTGGCTAAAGGAAAAAGATACATTCTGACTGCAATAACTGCTCTAAGATGGTACAGACGAGCTAGTTAGAGGGGCCTGGTGGACCATCGGCTGCTGAGATAGCAGCCATCTCAGCCGGAAGTGACGATAGAACCGAGACTTGAATGATGAGAAGGAGCCAGTTATGGGAGGTCTTGGGTATGAGAGTAACAGGCAGAGACAACAGCGAGGTCTGGGCCCAGGAGGGAGGGCAGTCTGCATGGAGGGCGCGAGATGATGGGAAAGGCAAGGCGAGCTTGAGTCACAGCACTGCCTGAGGGTGCTGGTGAGAAGGCTGGGTTTAATTCTGAGTGATAAGAAGCCACTGGAGGGTGTTGTCCAAGACTGATGTTCATTTTTGGAAGAACATTTTTACAAGGCTGCTTTGTGGACCGGGGGCTGCTGGGGGTCCGGGGGACAAGAGTGAAAGAGACAGTTTGGAGGTCATTGGAGGTCCAGTAGTTTGGATCCTCGGCCTCGAATCTGATAGGTAATTTCTTGGGTTGAAATAATATTTGTTTCCAAATATATTGACTGTGCTGTTGAACCTGTCTCTGTTTTTAGGAAAGTCGTGACAAGCGTTATCTAATCCAGAAACTCACAGAAGCCCAGAGGGATCTGAGGAACCGGCTAGACTGATGGGGAGATGCTGCCGCCTGTGGCTTACAGGCTGGCCTGATGACCTGCCAGCCTACGATATCCATCTATCCATCGGGGATTTTAGCGGAAATTTTAAAATATATTTTTCTGGAGTTTGGGCCTTTCCTGAAAGTGGCTCCATACGTGCAGCTCCAGTGGCGGTGTTTACATTACCAGGTCCCTGTTTAGGGCATTAGAAACTTAGAAAAGCAGGTTCAAAACCACGTCTTTTGCCTGTAACCCAGCAGCTCAGGGGTGACTTAACCAAAACTCTGACTTTGAAGATTTGCAACCAAAATTGAGGAGAGCCACTGAAGCTTTCCAACCAAAAGTGAGGAGAGACCACTTATGTTTTTACAAGCTTACTTGTATCGTCTTTTAAAGTTAACTGTGGAGGTCATCTGTCCATGAGCCTGGGTTCGTTCTTTTGAACCAGGTTCTGGAGGTTTAGGCTGAGAGCTGTTCCCTTAAGAAGCAGTGACTCTTGTGAATGGTTCTGTAGACTTAAAATGCAGAAACCCTGCACTCTTGATGTTTGAAACAGATGGAGGAGTATGGAGAGAAGGGTTATGTAATTTCAGCTACATGGTAGTATGTAATATGAGAGTAATCCTGTATGGCAGAGAAAAGCCCTTCCTGCCGTGTGAATAAGGCAGGCCCCGAGGGCCTTGGATTGAGCCCGTGACGGGGGGAGCAGCCGCAGCTTGGCAGCCTGGATTTCGTAGCTTCCTGGGCATGTTGCTGCAGCCTTGTTACTCAGGGGAAGCTGCTTTAAGGGCCTAGATATTCACAACCTTCCATCCCCTTCTAGTCCTGGGTTTGGAGACTTGGCAGAGGGCCCTGTGCCATCAAGATTAAGAGGCAGAGTGTGTCTCGCTCTTCCAAAGGCCGCGTCCCTTCCGGCACTGAGGTCTCTGAAGGGCACTTCACGGTTCAGAGCCAGGCTGGAAGGGGCTGTTGAGTGTCTGAGTGTTTGCGGGCACATGGGCTGCAGCATCAGGCCAGCCTTTGGCGGTGTACCCAACTGGACCGAATGCTGGAGCTTTTAAATGTATGTATTCATAGTTTTAAGGGCTCTTGTTTTTCTCATGCTTAAAAATTTTAATTTCATTTTACAAAACGTGTAGATATCTCTTAAGACTTCTGTTACCATAAAAACCTTATGCAATAAATACCTCAGCATAAGCTTACCTGAAATTGATAGCTTTAAACCTTTTCACATAAGCCTTGATTATAGTTTAATCAGTTTTCATTCTAATACCTTCAGAATCTTTTCCAAAGTACTGTCGTTTTGTAATGGACTGTCTGTGCTCTCCTTCTCTTGTTTTCCTTCCTTTCACTGGCTCATTAAACCTTTCCTTGGGATAGCCTGGCATTTAAAGGTGGGTGCAGCTTTTAAAAAGCTGCTGCTATGAAGACTATTTCCCACCCCCAGGACTCTCCTATTACTCAAAATGATTGACTCCTTGCTCTTAGAAATAAAGCAAGCTCACCATAGTTAACACAAGTCTATCTACTTGTCCCTTTGCCAGACTTTTTTTTTTTTTGCTCTTCTATAGTTAGTATTTACACAGGGTATTTTTAAAAACTATGAAACTGATGAGCTTTTCAAGCTTTTCATACCTTTTTAAGGTGTATGAATATTTTAGTCTAATAACTAGTATGGAATTTTGAACAAATGAAAGTTCATTCCATCCTCACTTAAAAAATTTTAAATCGTTGGTGTTTTTGCCTAAAGAATTTATATGTAGCTCATTCTTGCCTTCAGCATGCTTCTGAGAACAGTCAAGTATTCTTTGTAGTGAGTGTGTGTGTGTGTGTGTGTGTGTGTGTGTGTGTGTGTGTTGGAAGCTCTGTTTTCTTTCCCTGTTATTATACTGAAATATGCTAATATATTCATCTTAGGTAACTGCTGCTAATTTGCATACTTCTTACTTGAATGTTTTTATATATTTTGAAAATTTTAATAACTGTAAGAGATGTCTGTATAATTGTTAAAGTGCAGCTCTCTCTAACAAATGTGCATTAAAACTACTGATTAAACTGTATCTTGAAGGTTTTAAAATGTGATTGTGTGTATTTGAATTCTTGGAGGGGTCTTGTCAGCCATCTAGTGACCATAGAAAACTATAACAGTTTGTAAGGTTACTCTTTGCCTTTTGCTAGAATCAGAGAGAAGAAAGAAATATTTAATTTTAGAAAGTCATCAAATGAGTGCTTTTAAGACTCTCTTTTAAGCCAACGAGGGGTGTGTGTGCATGTGTTTTAAACTTAAAAGACATAGTTATTTCAAGCATTCCCTATCCCACCTCCCAGAGGAATTTTATTCTCCCAGAAAATTATATAATATATATTCAAGCAGATATGTATCTGTAGTTGTATGCGTGATATTTATTTATTTATGAGCTTCTCCTTTATTCCTCCTTAATAATATCTTGAAGATCTTGAAGAGTAGCTACCCATTCTTTTTTATGAGTATATGGCATTCTTCCATTATGTCAGTGTATACTTTCATAATCATTTACCAGTGCTGGATACTTAGTTCTCATTCACTGCCCCCTCTCTGACCCCACAGCACCTCATTATAAATACTGGGAGTTGGAATTTTGAAAGTCCATGCAAACATTTCTCTTTTCTCTGTTCTACCACATCCAGTTTCAGGTTCTTTTTTCTTTCTTTCTTTCTTTTTACATATAATGTATTTATTTATTAAGAGTTCAATATTATTATTTTCTTTTTAAATTTTTAATTTGGAGGATAGTTGCTTTACACTGTTGTGCAGGTGAATCAACCTTTTAAAACATTTTAAAACATTCACAACAACGTGAATCAGCCATAAGTATACATATATCCCCCCACCTTAAAACCTCCCTTCCAACCCCCCACCCCGGCTTCAGGTTCTTGTTCTTTATCAAGACAGCCTTGCAATTCCTTGCAGTCACAAATTATTCTCATCCCAGCAGAGAAGAATCCAGTTACACAGATCTTTAATTTGTATTAACTCTTTAAGTTAGCAAAGTAAATTTCTGCAGCTACATGTCTGATTGCTGATACTCACTTGAGTAAGTATTGGAGAGGGCTTCCCTGGTGGCCCAGTCAGTAAAGAATCTATTTGCAATGCAGTAGACCTGGGTTCGATACCTGGGTTGGGAAGATCCCCTGGAGGACAGCATGGCAACCCACTCCAGGAGTCTTGCCTGGAGAATCCCCATAGACAGAGGAGCCTGGCGGGCTACAGTCCATGGGGTTGCAAAGACTTGGATACTACTGAAAAAGACTAAGCAGAGCAGAGCAGAAGAAAGGAATTAAACGGATGGTACAGCAAGTTCTGATCCCTAGGAAGACAGAACTTCTTAATGTGTCTTCTTTATATAGGGTGTTGCTTTATTAGTAAATTCCATTTGGTATATTTTCTTTTCCAATACAAGGGATGTGCTTGGGACATAGAGTGGCTTTGTAACTTGCTGCTGCTGCTGCTAAGTCGCTTCAGTCATGTCCAACTCTGTGCGACCCCATAGACGGCAGCCCACCAGGCTGCCCCGTCCTGGGGATACTCTAGGCAAGAACACTGGAGTGGGTTGCCATTTCCTTCTCCAATGCACGAAAGTGAAAAGTGAAAGCAAAGTCGCTCAGTTGTGTCCAACTTTAGACAGAGACCTGGAAATGGGATTACAGCCAAGCTTTAGAACATTTCAAGGCTTCTGAGAGCAAGATTTACATTCAGGAGCTTTACGTGGGAATGTTACACAACTTCGCTTTCATGAAGTATTAGGAATTAAAAAGTTGGACTATCCTGGTGGTCCAGTGGTTAAGAGTTTGCCTGCCAATGTAGGGGATTCAGGTTCAATTCCTAGTCTGGGAGGATCCCACATGCCACACTCAGAGCAACTAAGCCCATGCATCACAATTACTGAGCCTGTGCCCTAAAGCCTGTGCTTCACAACAGAAGCTACTGCAGTTGGAGAACAGCCCCCTCTTGCTGCAACTAGAGAAAGCACATGCGCAGCAAGGAAGACCCAGTGCAGTCAAAAATAGAAATAGTAAAAAAAAAAAAAAAAAGAAAAGAAATAGTTATGTAACAATCAATTACATTTTTAAATCATTGCAGTGTTGTTAGGGAAATTAAAATGGAGGAAGTTTTGTTCAGGCTTCAGAAGCAGAAGAGCAGGCCTCTGACCTGCTTCTGATCTGCCTGGACACTGCCCAGATTCTGTGCCTGCCTGCAAGCACAGCATGTGAGGCAGCACTTTAGATAAAAAAAGGAGTGGGTCTTGGAATTCTTGAGCCCCGGAGGTCTGGCCAACCCCTCAGGGTCTAACAAAATCCTATGGCTCACAAGGTGAAACAGCATTGTAAAAAGGTGAAAGTAAAAACAGCTGCAATTCTGCATGCAAACTGTTAATGATACCAGTCTGCAGTCTAGGATTGTAAGCAAGAGCCCCTGAAACTGCAATATGAAGTCTCACCCTTGGGGTGGATGTACAGCCCAGGTCCCTTTCCCAGTAGGGACTCCAGATTGCTCTTAACAAGGGACTTCTAGCCTGTTCAAGTCTAGATGTAGGTTGGCCCAATTTGGTGGTGTATGTGTTGTTAATTCTCTCTATTGTTTCTATTTCTCTTCTTTTAATTACTGTATGTTGAAACTGTCAAATAATCTTCCATAAAAATTTGAAATTGTTTATGTATGTAATACCATGTGGTTTCATGTGTTGAGTCCTTCCAACCTGAAAGGAAAGTAAAACTTTGAGCAAAAATGCGTTAAATTTTAAAACAATTAGCAACATTATTCTACAATAGCAGTCTATCTTAAATATTTTATAGTGATGGATAAAAGATATATAATCCAAGGATGTAAAGTAGAAAATGAAAGTCACCTTCTCACAATTTCAACTCTGAAGTTACCGTTATTAAACATGCCTCCACATATGCACAGCCTCCCGACCAGTGATTTATTACAATTGAGTCTACCCTGATAGACTGGATACAGACTCAAAAGTATGAAATATGTTGCTAAATCTACTCATTCAACCTTCCCCTCAAGAAACCAGTTTGCATCAAGAAACCAGTTTGCACCAATTTCCTGGGGACTCTGATGGTAAAGAATCTGCCTGCAGTGCAGGAGAGTCAAATTGGATCCCTGGGTGGGGAAGATCCCCTGGAGAAGTGAATCGCTACCCACTCCACTATTCTCGCCTGGAGAATTCTATGGACAGAGGAGCCTGGCACACTACATCCCATGGGGGTCACAAAGTGTCCCGCACGACCGGGGGACTAACACACGCTCTAACAGTATAGGGGGAAATAAGGACAGCAATAATAAATGTTCTTTGTAGAAAACCTAAAAATAGAACAAAGGAGTAGGAAGGAATTTAGTTTGTCAACCCCAATATCTAGAGTCAACACTATTTGCACGTGGTGAACTGAATTTCAGACTGTAATTTCTACTATTTTAAAGAGCCTACAGATAGCAATCTCCTGTATTGGCAAAGCACAAAATACAATGGCTTTCCGGTAAACAATTTCCTCATGGTCCTTTTCCTCAGGAATTGAAGTGAGTAATCTTTTACCTGTTTGGATTTTTGAAAGAGCAAGTTGGCATTCTCATCTCCATGGCAACTCTTTACGTATGATTGATAGCGACCGCATCCACTAGAGTCTTTTCATTTGACATTTCCAACCAATCGAGTGGAAGCTGGGGGATTAGGGGCGTTTCCACCAGTGCGAGTGTCAACCGCATCTGCCTTACGTCGGCCGTGCGTCATCAGTCTGCGCCAAGGGCACGGTTGGCCCGCTCCGTTCAAAGAGTAGTAACGCTACTTCCGCGGCAATGAGTTGTGTCCGGGCGGCGGCGGCTTGCTCCCTGTGGTGGCTGCGCACAGGCACCCTGCAGCCCCTCTCAGGTAAAGGGGAGGCCTGAACGCGATCGCGCGCGGGGCTGAGGAGCCCAAGAATTTTCTCCTTAGGCTTAGGTCGGAGAGGTCACGGGGCGGGTAGACGTTCACACGTCACAGGGCTGCGACGGAGGGCGACTGCGCGGCTGGAAAAGCGGCGCGAGGCGTGTAATCGGCCACCGGGTCCGCCTGACCTAAAGGGGGTGGGTTTTCCGCTGTGACGTTCTGGCGAGCTCATTGGGCGACCGTGCGTTTGGGGGCAATGACGTAATTCACGCCTGTTCTGTGACGTCACGGCAGGTGTGGTAGGGGTTCCGGACTGAGGAGACTTGGCAATCTTGAAAGTTTAGTGTATTGGTGCGGGGGTGGGTGGTCCTTGTAGCTTTCGCTTGTGGCCTTGTAGGTGGCCCTACGACCGGCCGCGTGGGCTTCCTCCCATACGCCCGCCCCACTCCGGAGCTTGTTAGAAACGCGGATTCTCAGCTCGCTCCCCTAACCTATTGGATCTTAACAAGCCCTTGGAATGACTCGTGTGCATTTGCAACTTAGAGAAGCACCGGGATGTTGGAAGGAGCATCGAATTGGAGTAGGGAGGATTGGGCTTAGATTCTGACTCATCTTTTCCTCATTTATCCGAACTGCCTCAGAAAATTGTGAGGTCATTTTCTCAAAGTTAAACCATTCGTGTACCACCGTCAGGATTTTTGCTTTATAACAATACCACTGATATTTTACCACTGTTATTACTAGAGTTTTTTTCTTTTAATATTCCTAAACCGTATTCCTTTTTAAAATTAGAACATTGGAATCTAGATCCCTAGGTAAACGGAAAACCAGTATCTCTTGTCCCAAGAAAAAAATCATAAAAGTACGCTGAAAACAAGTTATTGTATTAGATAGATACTCTTGTCTACCAAGGTTTGAACTCAAGACCATCTTTCTTCTCGTAAGAAAGGAAAATTAACAAGTGTTAGGAAGATTTTAAGATATGTCAGCTGTAAACTGAGACAGTCTCCTTGATAAAATCAAAAGAGTTGGAAGAGAATCAGTTAAGTTGCTCAGTCGTGTGTGCAACTCTTGGCGACCCCATGGACTGCAGCACACCAGGCTTCCCCTGTCCATCACCAACTCTGGGAGCTTGCTCAGACTCTTGTCCGTTGAGTCAGTGATGCCATCCAACCATCTCATCCTCTGTCTTCCCCTTGTCCTCCTGCTTTCAATCTTTCCCAGCATCAGGGTCTTTTCCAGTGAGTCAGTTCTTCACATCACATGGCCAAAGAATTGGAGTTTCAGCTTCAGCATCAGTCCTTCCGGTGAATATTCAGGACTGATTTCCTTTAGGATTGACCGGTTGGATCTCCTTGAAATCCAAGAGACTCTCAAGAGTCTCCTCCAACACCACACTTCAAAAGCATTCTTCCGTGCTCAGCGTCCTTTATAGCCCAACTCTCACATCCATACATGACCACTGGAAAAACCATAGCTTTGACTAGACAGACCTTTGTTGGCAGAATAACTTCTCTGCTTTTTAATGTGCTATCTAGGTTGGTCATAGCTTTCCTTCCAAGGAGCAAATGTCTTTTAATTTCAGGGATGCAGTCACCATCTGCAGTGATTTTGGAGCCCAAGAAAATAACGTCTCTCTTCTATTTGCTATGAAGTGACGGGACCGGATGCCATGATCTTAGTTTTCTGAATGTTGAGTTTTAAGCCAGCTTTTTCACTCTTCTCTTTCACTTTCATCAAGAGGCTCTTTAGTCCTTCGATTTCTGCCATAAGGGTGATGTCATCTGCGTATCTGAGTTTATTGATATTTCTCCTGGCAATCTTGATTCTAGCTTGTGCTTCATCCAGCCCTGCATTTCACATGATGTACTCTGCATTTAAGTTAAATGAGCAGGGTGACAATATACAGCCTTGACATACTCCTTTCCCAATTTGGAAGCAGTCTGTTGTTCCATGTCCAGTTCTAACTGTTGCTTCTTGACTTGCATACAGGTTTCTGTATGTGTGTATGGAAGAGACTAATTATTAACTAAAAAACATCATAGCCACTTAAGATCTTTTCATATATGACTTGAAATATCCTAGGTGCCATCACTGGTATATGTTTCACATTTTAGGAAATCACGAATATAAAATGATGCACTTGAGAACTTTTAGCAATGGGCCTCAATTTTATTATTTCTCAGTTTTAAAGTGTGTGACAATACAGGCAAAACTCAGGATTGTTGAAGATGAATTTTAATGCTCCTTCATTCTTTTTCATTTATAGTTACTCTGCATCCTCTGTATCTTTTTACTGTCGTGATAGTAAGAAAGGTTTTATTATTGTGTTTCTCCAAAAAAGGAAATAACCAGATTGTTCCCAATTTTATATGTAATAAATGGCAATTCAGAATTGTTAAAAGTCTGTGTTAGAGACAAGATAGGTATTTTATGATTCTAGTTCTGTGCTCTGTCTATGGTCCATCTCATACTTTTTTTTCTTTTCCATTATGGCTTATTACTAGATATTGAATATAGTTTCCTGTGCTATATAGTAGGACCTTGTTTATCCTTTTAAAAAACGTTTTTGATGCGGACCTTTTTATGTCTTTATTGAATTTGTTGCAATATTGTTTCTGTCTTATGTTTTGGTTTTTGGCTGCGAGGAAAGTGCGATCCTAGCTCCCTGAGCAGAGTTCAAACCCATGCCGCCTGCAGTTGAAGGCACAGTTTTAACCACTGGACTGCCTTATCTATTTTACATATAGTAGTTTGTATCTGTTAATTCCAAACTCTTAATTTATCCCTCCCCCACCTCATTTCCCTTTTGGTAACCAAAAACTTGTTTTCTATGTCTGTGAATCTGTTTCTTAAATAAGTTCTTTTGTAAACTTCTTAGTTCTCATTTTAGATTCCACACATAAGTGGTATCACCTGGTATTTGTGTTTCTCTGCCTTCATTTAGTATGATAATCTCTAGATCCATGCATGTTGCTGCAAATGGCATTATTTCTGTGTGTGTGTGTGTGTGTAGATAGACCACATCTTCTTTGTCCTTTCATCTGTCAGTGGATATTTAGGTTGCTTCCATCTCTTGGCTGTTATAGTCTGCTATGAACATTGGGGTGCATATGTCTTTTCCAATTATAGTTTTGTTGAGGTATATGCCCAGGAGTGGTATTACTGGATCATATGGCAACTCTGTTTTTAGTTTTTTGAGGAACCTGCATACTGTTCTCCATGGTGGCTGCACCAGTTTACATTCCCACCAACAGTGTACGAGGGTTCCGTTTTCTCTCTAACACCCTTTCCAGCATTTGTTATTTGTAGACTTTTTATTTTTTTATATATTATTTATTTATTTATTTATTTATATTTGTAGACTTTTTAATGATGACCATTATGACTGACTGGTGTGAGCTAGTACCTCATTGTAGTTTTGATTTGTATTTTTCTAATTAGAAATGTTGAGCATCTTTTCATGTGTCTATTGGCCATTTGTATAGCTTCTTTGGAGAAATGTCTGTTTAGATCTTCTGCCTGTTTTTTTTAGTAGATTTTTTTTTTTTTTTAGTTGTATGAGTTGTTGGTATAATTTGTAAATTAAGCCTTTGTTGTCTGCATTGTTTGCAAGTATTTTCTGTCTGCCGGTTGTCTTGGCATTTTCCTTTGCTGTGCAAAAGCTTGTAAGTTTGATTAGGGAGGTCCTATTTTATTTTTGCTTTTTTTTTCTATTGCCTTGGGAGACTGACCTAAGAAAACACTGGTACTGTTTATGTCAGAGAATGTTTTGCCTATTTTCTCTTTTAGGAGTTTTGTGGTGTCATGTCTTATTTATTTATGTCATAACTTAAATTTTGAGTTATCTTTGTGCATGCTATAAGAGCATGTTGTAACTTCATTGATTTACATGTGGCTGTCCAGCTTTCCCAGCACCACTTGCTGAAGAGACTGTTTTTTTCTCATTGTATAGTCTTACCTCCTTTATCAAAGATTAACTTGCTAGGTGTGTGGGTTTATTCCTGGGCTTTATTCTGTTCTATTGATCCATTTGTCTGTTTTTGTGCCAGTGCTACTGTTTTGATTACTGTAGCTTTGGAGTATTGTCTGAAATCAGGGAGGGTTATTCTTCCAGCTTTATTCTTTTTACTCAAGCTTGCTTTGGCAATTCTGAGCTTCATGGTTCCATACAGATTTCAGGATTATTTGTTCTAGTTCTGTGAAAAATGTCATGTGTAATTTGATAGGGGTTACATTAAATCTGTAGATTACTCTGGATAGTATGACCGTTTAAACAATATTTTTGCAATCTACAAAGCATCCATCTGATACTTTTTAAAGCCACCTCGCAGAGATTGTGACAAGATAGAGATGGCGAATATTAGGAAACCTCACCCTCCACACATACCTCAAAAAGCGTTTATTAGGTGCCTGAATCTGGAAAAGTGTTGTAGCGCTAGGGAAAAGTCAGATATGCTTTTAATAGAATTATAACTCTACCCGTCAAAAGTCAGCTGTGTGTTTGAACTCAGGCTCATCTTATGCACTCAACCCGTTGCTATTTCTCAGTAAATGATTTCTTAAAAATTAATATTGAGGAATTTCCTGATGATCCAATGGTTAGAACTTGGCACTTTCACTACTGAGGGCCCAGTTCAATGGTTCAGTCCCTGGTCCAGGAATTAAGATCCCACAAGCCACTCAGCTTGGCCAAAAAAAGAAAGGAGTATTGCGTTATTTTAAAACTTCTTTCTTATTAACACATTTTGTGGTGGGAGTAACAAAATGAAAGAACAAGCAAACGATTATTTTAAGAAATAGAGTCATCTCGTTATTTATTTATGGCTGCACTGGGTTTCTTGCTTTGCACAGGCTTCCTCTAACTGCAGCGAGGCGGGGCTGCTCTCTGTTGTGGTTTGAAGGCTTCTCATTGCAGTGGCTTCTCTTGTTGTGGAACACAAGCTGTAGGCGGGTGGGCTTCAGTAGTTGTGACTTGGCTCTAGAGTACAGGCTCAGTAGTTGTGACACACAGGCTTAGTTGCCCTGTGGTGTATGGGATTTTCCAGACCAGAGATCGAACCCATGTCCCCTGCATTTGCAGACAGATTCCTAACCACTGGACCAACAGGGAAAGTACCATCTCATCATTTTTCATTTTAACTTTTGGACCTGATCTTTCTACAAGGAGGCTAGGCCTTGGACTTGGAGGAAAAACTTGGCACAGGTTACCTTGACTTTGTCCAATGTCTCCAGTTGTTCTCCACATAGAAACATGGTCATGGAGGGACTTCCCTGGCAGTCCTGCAGTTAAGAATGCACTTCCACTGCAGGGGGCGCAGGTTCAGTGCCTAGTAGGGGAACAAAGATCCTGCATGCAGCATGGCCAAAACAAAACAAAAGGCCATGGACCACAGTGACCTGCTGTCTGATGACATAGATCTGAGTGGTACCTTACACCTGGCAGAACGTGGAATCCAGCCAGGTAAGTCAGGCAGGCTCAGTGAGGTGGAGCAGGTTCTGTGGAAGAATGGATCAAAGTTGGGACACCATGCTTCAGACCCCCATATCCATTGCTCCTTTGTCTAGAGTGAGGCATTTAAAATCCTCAGCCTGAAAAGTTCAAATGCAGAACTATCTCAGATTTTATCAGGCCTACCCCATCACTTTGTGTCCAAAGCACTCAAGCCTTTTTTAATGGAAAAAGAAAAAAAGGCTATAGATGTATCAGAATGAAACTTTTCTACACATTTTGTGGGTGTTCTTTAGCCTAAATGTATGGTATCTACTAAACAGGTGGTAGTCATACATAAGAGCCTTGAAGCACATCTCAAGATGGTATCAATACAGCCAGAGTTCACATTACCAACTAAAAGATCTAAGTCTTTACTTCCATATCTGCAAAATAAGTTAACACCTTATACATCTAAACATGTTATAAAACTGTTCTCTTAGGGGAGAGGACTTTGGGAATGCTCAAATACAAGCCTCAGAGATTATAGTCAAGGTGTTAACTATTTGGAGATTTTTTTAAAGGACAAAATCTAATCTATCCTGAAGAATTTACATTTTGAAAGCAAGAAGAGTTCAGTTGAATCAAGTACCAGAATGAGATGAAACGTAAGCGCTAGGCCAAATTCTCAAAGTCAGATGCTCACCGGCACAGATACTTTTAATAAGAGAAATTAAATCTACGGTTCAGACCTTGGCTGCAGAAAACGTCTGTGCAGAGAACTGTTTAAAAGCATCATCTCCCAGGGATCCACTGGGGCGGAGCATCCATGATTCTGAGAGCCCCTAGGGACTGTGTGCAGCCAGAGCTGGAAAGGAAGCAGGTGTGTGAACTGGGGAACCGTGCCCATCCAGAGACAGCTGCCGTGTTAGCTGCCTAGGAAGACGACGCCACCGGTGTTTCTAGATCGTCATACACTTCAAGTGAAGTCAGGCTCCAGATCTTCAGTTAAATCTTCTCTCTTTTAAATACTGGTAATTAATTCACTTTACAAAACAAAACTACACACTGCTGTATTTAAAATGGATAGCAAGGACCTACTGGATAGCACATGGAAATCTGCTCAATGTTGTGTGGCAGCCTGGATGGGAGGGCCGTTTGGGGGAGAATGGATACGTGTATATGTATGGCTGAGTCCCTTCCCTGTTCGCCTGAAACTATCACATTTTTTAATAATTGGCTGTACCCCAATACAAAATAAGAAATTTAAAAAACAAAGCCACAAATCGCTACAGGTTAAACAGAGTACATTTGTGGGCATCCCCAGCCTATGGGGAGCTTATTTGTGACCTCTGCTGTAAGATGCCTCTTTCTTCTATGAAAGGAAATGTTCAATTTTACCCAAGAGTAATGGAGAATAAACACTTGCATTGCAGCTTATGGAAGAAGAATCAGTGTCAGATTTTGCAGTTCAAGAATAACCTTAGACAACATCAATAGGGAAGCTGTGGATCGAATAATCCGGGTGGATCATGCAGGTGAATATGGAGCAAACCGTATCTATGCAGGGCAGATGGCCATCCTGGGTCGGACAAGCGTCGGGCCAGTCATTCAGGTGGGCACCTCTTAATCTCTCAGTAATGAATCACACTGGGTCATGCATTGTCAAGGGAGGTATTGTTGTCCCCAAGAGAAGGAAAATTGGTTATGGGGGGGTGGTGGAGGAGTAAAAAGCATATTATTCTTTTTTATAAAGCGCAGACAGACATAAACAGATTTATAGTACATAAACAAATATACAGTCTACCTGTAGTATTAAAATTTCATGGTGGGGGGCAATAAAAAAGGATTAAGAGTCATTGCATTCACTGTAAGACCTTGTGGTCCCACCCCTAGTAGACCCCAGTGGAGATATTTTATATTATAGGCTGAGAGGCAGATTGGACAGGCCTGGGCTTCATAGTCACACAGACCGAAGTTCACATTCCAGCTGTCTCCCACCTCCTACCTGTGTGAGCTTGAGGAAGTCACATGATGTGTTCTGTGTCTGCAAAATGAGCTGACACGACGTCATTTTGGTGAAGAATAAATGAGCTGGTGTAGAGCAGCTAATACCATGCCTGGCATGTGTTAGACACTTAGCACAAGTTAAATTGCCTACTCTGAGTACTTGGGCAAGTTACTTAACCTCTCTGTGCCTCACTTCCTTCATCTGTATAGTGAGGATAATAATAGTTTGTCTTTCACAAAGCAGTTGTGCAGATGAATTCAAATATGTATGTAAGCTCTTTGACAGTACCTGGCTATGGGACATACTCTTTTAAGTGTTAGCTCTTATGATCATTCTTCCTTTTTCCTTTGATGTAAATGATATATTTCTGACTGTCTGAAAGGAAATCATATAAAAGGTAATATTCTGCCCTCTAAGTTTGAAATGGGCTACACATCTCATGTCTTTGGGGGTGCACTGTGGATTGAGCAGCTTCGGCCAGCTCTGAGGTTTGTAGTCTGCTTGTCTGGAATGGAGATAACAGACACTTCTCTTGGTTTGCTGTCTCTCTTCCCTGTAATCTGATGTTTAGGGCTTTTCCTTCTATGATTCAAGGGGACTGGGGGAGGTAGCAGTTCTCATCATTCTCCCCATTATGCTTCCTTTACCCACATGAACAGGGCATGTGGCTTCCTTATTATGTAACAGGTGGTCTCTCTGAAATGTCTTTGTTTTTATGTTTCTTACAGAAAATGTGGGATCAAGAAAAGGACCACTTGAAAAAGTTCAGTGAGTTGATGGTTGCATTCAGGGTGCGGCCGACCATTCTGATGCCCTTTTGGAACGTGGTGGGGTTTGCACTGGGTACGTGTCTATCTGGGAGAGCCTGTGTGAGCCTAGGGATCTGGGAGGATTGAATCAGTAAATAACCCGTCTACAATTCTTATGTCCTCTTACAGCCTTATAATTCGTATTCTAAAGTTAAATTGATTTTTTTTTTGCTTAAATTAAGATAGAACCTTAAAATCAGTACTTTTATAAATAGAAGATACATTGAAAATAACTACAACAGAGAGGAAAAAGGCTAGAGTAATTTGACTGTGGCCAGATGAAGTTCCCTAATGAAGGTTCTAAACTTGGGATCTGCTCACTCTTAAAAAGAGAGTCAGGGAATTCCCTGACAGTTCAGTGGTTAGGACTCAGCTCTTTCATGGCTGAGGGCCCAGGTTCCAGCCTAGTTGGGGAACGAAGATCCCACAAGCCCTGAGGCACAGCCAAAAGAAAAAAGAAAAAGGGAGAGTCAGTGATACAGAAGAACCAAAGAAGCCCAGTGAAGACTCGCTCCTGCCATAATCAGAAGGTTAGAAAAAGCACTGAGAGGAGAACATTCTTCCTGTGTGGTTCAGTTTGAATCGCCACGCTGTCATCTGGTTCCATGGTTTTCAGGGATGGCAGCTCCCGAGGACACTTGGCAACATCTAAAGACAGTTTTGGTTGTTGCAACTGGGGATGCCACGGGCACCTAGTGGGTAAAGGTCAGGGATCCGGCTAAACATCCTACCACGTTCAGGACACTCCCCCACAAGGAATTACCCAGCCCCAGGGTGCCAGGTGACAAACCCTGACCTGGTCTCCATCCCCAGTGGTGTCAACCCCACCCTTTACCTTCTGGATCTGACCATTCCAGGCGCTGGAACTGCCCTGCTTGGGAAGGAGGGCGCCATGGCCTGCACGGTGGCCGTGGAAGAGTCCATCGCACACCACTACAACAACCAGATCAGGACGCTGATGGAGAAGGAGCCTGAAAAATACGAGGAGCTTCTGCAGGTATCTGACCATGCTCTGGAAGGGTCTGCCGGGGGCGGGGGGAAGGGCAGATATGCAGTTTGATAAGAGGACCAAAACAGAGTGTTGGGGACCAACACTGCCTTGGAAACCTAGGGCAGCACCTCGTTTGAAAGGCGTGCAAACTGAGGCAGCTGTGGGCCATGTCACGTGCTCGGGCAGAGCTGGGACTGAAACCCGAGTTTCCTGAGCCTACACCTGTATTCTCTCTGCCTATGGATCATTGTTAGATCCTGAGCAAAGACCGTGAGCACAGATCCTTCATATTAAATAAATGAATATCCTCAGGATAATAAATAAGTATCCTCAGAAATTTTGTACAGAAAATAGGGGAACTGTTTCATTTTTTTTTTTAAGTCAGTGGCCACCCACCTGTCTCTGTAAGTTTTTCTGGAACACAGCTACACTCATTATTCTGCATGTCCATGGCTATTGTTCCCTCTAGGGTGGCAGAGTTGAGTCATCGTGACAGGGACCTTACAGCCCGAGAAACCTGAAGTACTGCCTCTGGGCCTTTGCAGGAAAAGTCTGCCTACCTGTGTCTTAGCTGGTAATATGAGGCTTTGGCCACCAAAGTAAGTCAGAACAGTGGGGAGTTGGAAGGCTGACTTGTTTCAATTTCTTTTTATTTAACCAGGTGATCAGGAAATTTCGGGATGAAGAGCTTGAGCACCATGACATAGGCCTCGAACATGATGCAGAACTGGTGGGGACCCATCTTTACTCTTTGCTTGTGGTGGTACTTTATTTGGAAGGTTGAGGGACAGGAACGTTTCTGTTTCCAGAAAGTTATAAAACAACCATCAGAAACAGAACCCATATCCGTCAGTTCAGTTCAGTCACTCAGTTGTGCCCAATTCTTTGCAACCCCATGGACTACAGCACACCAGGCTTCCCTGTGCATCACCAGCTCCCAGAGATTGCTCAACTCAGGTCTGTTGGGTCTGTGATGCCATCCAAGCATCTCATCTTCTGTTTTCCCCTTCTCAACTCCTGCCTTCAATCTTTCCCAGCATGAGGGTCCTTTCCTAGGAGTCGTTCTTCACACCACATGGCCAAAGTATTGGGAGTTTCAGCTTCAGCATCTGTCCTTCCAGTGAATGTTTAGGACTGATTTCTTTAGCATTGACTGGTTGGATCTCTTTGCAGTCCAAGGGACTCTCGAGAGTCATCTCCAACACCATAGCTCAAAAGCATCAATTCTTCGGTGCTCAGCTTTCTTTATAGTCCAACTCTCACATCCGTACATGACTACTGGAAAAACCATAGCTTTGACTAGACAGACCTTTGTTGGCAAAGTAATGTCTCTGCTTTTTAATATGCTGTGTAGGTTGGTCATAGCTTTTCTTCCAAGGAGCAAGCATCTTTTAATATCATGGCTGCACTTGCCATCTGCAGTGATTTTGGAGCCCCCCAAAAATAAAGTCTGTTATTGTTTCCCCATCTATTTGCCATGAAGTGATGGAACCAGATGCTATGATCTTAGTTTCTGAATGTTGAGTTTTAAGCCAACTTTTTCACTCTCCTCTTTCACTTTCATCAAGAGGCTCTTTAGTTCTTCTTCACTTTCTGCCATAAGGGTGGTGTCATCTTTGTATCTGAGGTTTTTGATGTTTCTCCCAGCAATCTTGATTTCAGCTTGTGCTTCATCCAGTCCCGCATTTTGCATGATGTACTCTGCATTTAAGTTAAATAATCAGGGTGACAATATACAGCCTTGACGTACTCCTTTCCCATATTGGAACCAGTCCATGTTACATGTCTGGTTCTAACTGTTGCTTCCTGACCTGCATACAGATTTCTTAGGAGACAGGTAAAGTGGTCTGGTATTCCTATCTCTTGAAAAATCTTACACATTTTGTTGTGATCCACATAGCCAAAGGCTTTGGCGTAAGTCAGTAAAGCAGACGTAGATGTTTTTCTGGAACTCTCTTGCTTTTTCTATGATCCAAAGGATGTTGGCAATTTGATCTCTGGTTCCTCTGCCATTTCTTAATCCAGCTTGAACATCTGGAAGTTCTTGGTTCATGTACTGTTGAAGCCTGGCTTGGTGAATTTTGAGCATTACTTTGCTAGTGTGTGAGATAAGTGCAGTTGTGTGGTAGTTTGAACATTCTTTGACATTGTGTTCCTTTGAGATTGGAATGAAAACTGAGCTTTTCCAGTTCTGTGGCCACTGCTGAGTTTTCCAAATTTGCTGGCATATTGAGTAGAGCACTTTAGCTGCATCATCTTTTAGGATTTAATATAGCTCAACTGAAATTCCATCACCTCCACTAGCTTTGTTCATAGTGATGCTTCCTAAGGCCCACTTAACTTCATGTTCCAGGATGTCTGGCTCTAGGTGAGTGATCACACCATCGTGATTATCTGGATCATGAAGATCTTTTTTGTACAATTCTTGTGTGTATTCTTGCCACCTCTTCTTAATATCTTTGCTTCTGTTAGGTCCATACCATTTCTGTCCTTTATTGTGTCCATCTTTGCATGAAATGTTCCCTTAGTATCTCTAATTTTCTTGAAGAGATCTCTAGACTTTCCCATTCTATTGTTTTCTTCTATTTCTTTGCACTGATCACTGATTTAAGTCATACCTGAATGGTCTAGTGCTTTTCCCTACTTTCTTCAGTTTAAGTCTGAAATATGCAATAAGGAGTTCATGATCTGAGCCACAGTCAGCTCCTGGTCTTGTTTTTTCCGACTGTGTAGAGCTTTTCCATCCTCAACTGCAAAAAATACAATCAGTCTGATTTTAGTATTGGGCATCTGGTGATGTCCATGTGTAGAGTGTTCTCTTGTGTTGTTGGAAGAGGGTGTTTGCTATGACCAGTGCATTCTCTTGGCAAAACTCTATTAGCCTTTGCCCTATTTCATTTTGTACTCCAAGGCCAAATTTGCTTGTTACCCTAGGTATCTCTTGACTTCCTACTTTTGCATTCCAGTCTCCTATGATGAAAAGGACATCTTTTTTGGTTTAGTTCTACAAGGTCTTGTAGGTCCTCATAGAACCATTCAACTTCAGCTTTTTCAGCATTAGTGATTGGGCATAGGCTTGGATTACTGTGATATTGAATGGTTTACCTTGGAAATGAAGAGAGATCATTCTGTTGTTTTTGAGATTGCACCAAGTACTACATTTCAGACTCTTTTATTGACTATGAGGGCTACTCCATTTCTTCTAAGGGATTCTTGCCCACAGTAGTAGATATAATGGTCATCTGAGTTAAATTTACCCATTCCAGTCCATTTTAGTTCACTGATTCCTAAAATGTCAATGTTCACTCTTGCTACCTCCTGTTTGACCACTTCCAATTTACCTTGATTCATGGACCTAACATTCCAGGTTCCTATGAAATATTGTTATTTATAGCATTGGACATTAGTCCCATCACCAGTCACATTCACAATTGGGCGTTAAGAGAACTGCTTGACAGAAAGCAAGTAAATGCCTTGCTCCAACTGGGAATCATTTCTCGCTTCCTTATCCTATTCCCCAGCACATTCCCTCTTTCTGGTGAGAAGCTGGTTGGGTCAGATGTTTTGGCTGTAGTAAAGGTATTCCAATCTTTTGAAAAGGATTTTTTTCCCCCTGTTAAAATAAATCATTTCTTAGATCTTGTTACTTATCCAGAGCAGTCCCAACCCTGCCATGCCAGACTTGTACCTTACAATGGAAGGTGAACACAGAACGGATTTCTTTGGTTTGCTTACTGTTGTTTTTTTTTAACAGGCTCCAGCGTATGCTGTTCTGAAGAGCATTATCCAGGCTGGGTGCAGAGTGGCGATATATTTATCAGAAAGACTTTAAAGTATGTCCGCTTTTCCTTGTGTATAAGGATAATAGTAATTTAACAGGTGACAGTGGCAGAAAAGGAAATGTGCAGTTATTGTTCTGTGAATTTGTTAATAAATTGAGAGGTTTTTTCGTTAATAAGACTCTGCAGTTTTGGTTGTTCTCTGTGCTGCTTCATGGCCATAAGGCTGACAGTTTACCAGATGTGTTCAGATTACCGCAAATGAAGCTGGTTCTCACTTGGTCTATAAATTTTGTTCTAAAGCAACAAGTATGAATCATTAAGAAAGTAACATATCTTCGAGAGGAAAAAAAATGAGTTCACTGGTAACACAAAGTAATTTAAAACAGTGATGTTTAAAATTAACAAAGCAAGACTATCTAGCCCATCAGGTAAGCAGAAGACTGACGTTTTTATTGTGAAATGTGGGTTGAGGGCAGGTTACTCCCATCAGAGAATATACTGAATTGTGGATTATTTGTGAAGTTGAATTACAATCATTTCCCTAAAAAATGGAACAAAATGAACTGTAATTTTCATACTTTGTTGAAATCCTCTATGATTTACAAATTTTAAATACTTTGTGGGAAAAAACCTAGATCAGTGGTTCTCTTCTCTGGCTGCACATTAGGGTTCCTGAAGAGCCTTTTAGAGTTTTTCAGATTGTGAACCAAAAATTCTGACTTAATTAGGGGGGAGCCCAGGATCACAATGGTTTCGAAAGTGCCCAGGTGATTCTAAGCTGAGTCAGGGCTGGGAGCCCCTGGACTAGATTGTCCGCTTCTTGTGGTGAAGAATCATGTCTTTGGGTCTCTGCCTCCTGCCTCGCACCCTGTGTTTAATTACCGCCTTGCTTCAGGGCGTCCTGTTTTGAAGGACAGCAACACTGGGATCAGTTTGGACTAGTCCTCTATAACCTCTTTTTTCCTAAACCAAACATGCATTTAATCTTAGGTGAGCAAGTGAATCAGTCTTCTGGTACTAATTGCAATAAATTAAACATGGGAGAGAAGGGTTGAAGACAACTGAATTCTAAATTCTTGCACTAGGTTACAAACAGATGTCTGTTGAAAGGCCAAGTTTCTACTCAGTCGTTGCCTCTCTCCATTATTTTATTTTATTTATTTATTTTTTTCATTTATTTTTATTAGTTGGAGGCTAATTACTTTACAATATTGTAGTAGTTTTTGCCATACATTGACATGAATCCTCCATGGGTGTACATGTGTTCCCCATCCTGAACCCCCCTCCCACCTCCCTCCCCATCCCATCCCTCTGGGTCATCCCAGTGCACCAGCCTTGTTATTTTATAAAATGCATTTTATGTCTTTCCTTTAAAGACAATGAGTTTATTGAGGGCTAAACATCTTTTCTAGTTCCTAGTACACAGTACGTGCCCATTAAAAAGGAGGGGAGGAAAGGAGAAAAGAAAAGGAAGGGAGGGACAAAATGTACTGAAGTGAAAGTCACTCAGTTGTGTGTGACTCTTTCCGACCCCGTGGGCTACACAGCCCATGGAATTCTCCAGGCCAGAGCACTGGAGTGGGTAGCCTTTCCCTTCTCCAGGGGATCTTCCCAACCCAGGGATGGAACCCAGGTCTCCCATATCAAGTAGCTACCAAACTGCTGGGAAAATGGCCTGGGTGGGTGTTCTTCATCTCCTCTGGATCTCACTGCCAGAGGCACCCAGTCAGATCACAAAACTGCTGCTCAGCTCAGAACCTCGCTGTGGCTTTTCCCAGTTTTCACAGGTTAAAGGTCGTGGTCCCTAAGATGGCTTACGAGGCCTCCATGATCTGGCCTCTGTGACAGCGTCCCCTCCCTCACTGTTTCTAGTCTCCCTGGCCCTTTCCTGCTCCTTGAAGTGCTGAGGCATGTTTCTGCCTTGTGGCCTTTGCAATGGCCATTCCCTCAGCCCGGAATCCCTTCCACCGGATATCTCCATGGTGAAATCCCTCACCGACTGCTAAGGTTTTGTTCAAATGTCAGTTTTGAAAGGACGCCCACTGTGAACACCTTTTTTAAAAAGGTTGTAAAGCCCACCCCACCACATAACCTCATGCCTCTTGCTCTGTTCTGCACTTTTCCCCCAGAGCACTACTACCTTCTGGCATATTATATAAGGTACTCACTTGTGTGTTTCTCGTCTATTTTCTCCCTGCAAGAATATAAGCTCTATAGGGTAGAAATCTTTGTTTTAATCACTGACACATAACTAGTTGATGGGATTGGATGAAGAAATTGTTCTCCCTTATTATAAGTCGTTTTCAGATAACTGGTAAATCAGAACTACTCCTGTTTGCATCCCAGGAAAATTCAGTGGAGATTTATTGAAAAGATACTACTAAGCTGAGCTGGGCCCCTGGCCCTGGTCTGTACAAATTGTTTTGCTATAAAACTCAAAATCTTTTAGCCAGCGGATGGGGAGAGGGTGGGGGTAGGGAGATGTACCAGGAAACCAAAGGAAGGCCCTTCTCTGTGTTTCTTGCTGATGAGTTAAAAAAATACAGACTGGAGTTTTGCATCTGAATCCACATGCAAAAGAATGAATTTAGATCTGTACTTATCAGCACATAAAAAAATTAACTCAAAACACACTGCTAAATTTCTAAAGCTTTTAGAAGAAAGCATAAGAGTAGATCTGTGTGACCTTGGATTAGTCAATAGTTGTCTAGGCATGACACCAAAAGCACAAGCAATGAAAGAAAAAAATAAACTGAACTTCATCAAAATGAAAACTTCTGTTCTTGGAAGAACACTATCATGAAAGTGAGAAGACAACCAACAGAACAGGAGAAAATATTTGCAAATCGTGTATCTGATAAGGGATTTGTATCTAGAATATGAAGAACTCTTACAACTCAACAGTAAGACAAGTTAATTAAAAATAGGCAAACATGTCTCCAAAGAAGATATACAAATGGCCAATAAGCATTTGGGAAAAAGAAATGCCCCACATCATTCGTCATTACAGAAAACCACAACTAGATACCCCTTCACACCCACTAGGATGGCTACAGTCAAAAAGATGGAGAATAACAAGTGTTGGTGAAGGTGTGGAGAAATTATAACTCTCATACACTGCTGGTGGAAATGTAAAATGGCGCAGCCCCTTTGGAAAACAGTCTGACATTTCCTCAGATAGTTATACATAGAATTACTGTGCTACAGTAACTCCTCTCCTAGGTATAAACTTAAAAGAAGTGAAAATGTATTCAAATAAGTAATTGGATATGAATATTCATAGTATTAATAACCTTGTATTCATAGTAGTAATAACATTGTTTGTGATAGCCAGAAATTAGAAACAACCCAAATGTCCATCAGCCAATGAATGGATAAACTAAATGTGGTATCTATATAATGGAATGTTACTCACCTGTAAAAAGGAAGGAAGTACTGATACATGTTGTAGCATTGAGGAACCTTAAAAACACGATGTTTGGTTACAGAGTTTCAGTATGGGAAGATGAAAATAGGTCTGGAGAGGGATGGTAGGAAGAGTTGAACAACAATATGAAATTGCTTAATATCACTGAACTCTGCACATGGAAATGGTTAAGATGGTAAATGGTTACATATATTTTACAGCAATAATTTTTGAGCCCACTTACATGAAATGTGCAGAACAGGCAAATCCAGAGACAAAGAATAGACTGCTAGTTGCCTAGGACTGCAAGAGACAGAGAGAATGGGGAGTTAATGCTAATGGATTTAGGGTTTCTTTTTGGGGTGATGAATGTTTTCAAATTAGATGGTGGTGATGGTTGCATAACCTATGAACATAGTAAAAACCACTGAAATGTAGGCTTTAAAAAGGTGAATTTTATGGTATGAATCATAGCAATTAAAAAAATACAGGATTTGTAGTTTTATGCTATTAGTGTATGTTAGTTGCTCAGTCGTGTCCTATTTGTGACCCCATGGACTGTCACCCACCAGGCTCCTCTGTCCATGGAATTCTCCAGGCAAACATACTGGAGTGGGTAGCCATTCCCTTCTCCATGGGATCTTCCTGACCCAGGGATTGAACCCAAATCTTCTGTTTTGCAGGCAGATTCTTTACATCTGAGTCACATAGCAATTTTATGCTATATTTGAAAGCAAATTTCAGTCCAGGCAATTGAATGGGAAATGATCTATTTAAAGTACAAGCCTTCAGGCCAGCAGGGCATGTGGAAGTCTTGATCTTCCAAGATGCTGATGCTGGTTCTTGCCTTCCTGTATCAAAGTGAATTTTATAAGTGTTGCAGTCAGTAGTCTCAGTCCTATGAAGGCATTTTGTACAATCTTTATTGGAAGCCCAGATGTGCTGCTGTTTGTTTAGCATCCCCTTCAGAATTGATGGCTGATGTTTTGTGCTTTCTGAGAGCTGCTTGAATATAAGGCTAGAGAGCTTTTCTGAATCCCCCTTTGATTGTTTTAATTCCATTACAGCTTGTCCTCTGTATTAACAAGGTAATCTTGTCTTTCTCTTACTTTACTGCTCTGACCTTTCAGGGGAAATGTGGTTTTAGATTTGGACACCATCCAAAGATGATGCCAGGATGACGAAGGATATTATTCTTGCAAGCAGTCCAGGTCCAAAGATGTGATCTGAGCTATAGTTATTTGCATGTTTTTGATTCCTTCTCTACTCAGAAGTGGTCCACAGACCAGTAGCAGTGGTATCACCTGGGAACATGTTAGAAATGCAGAATTTGGGGAATCCTCCCAGGACCTACCTAATCAGAATCTGCATTTTAACAGGTTTGGTGGTTTTAAAGTATGTCTGCAGATTCCTTGATATTTCTCTGTTTTGTTGTTGGTGGTTGTTTTAGTCACTAAGTTGTATCCAACTCTTTGCAACCCCTTGGACTGTAGCCCACCAGGCTCCTGTCCATGGGATTTTCCAGGCAAGAACCCTGGAGTGGGTTGCTATTTCCCTCTCCAGGGGATCTTCCTGACCCAGGGATTAAACCCTCAGCTCCTCCATTGGCAGGCGGATTCTTTACCACTGAGCCACCTGGCAAGT